AAATAATTGTATTTTTTAATCAACAAAAAGGAGAAAATCTTAAACTTTACTAGGAAGAACAACTTTAATTAAACCGAAATTCCCACCGTTGGAGACAGGTTTCCGTATAAGTGATCGGTGGAAATTATTGATTGATTTTTAGATTATGGGAGCTGAAGGCGAGCAAAGAAAAATATTTTACTTAGTGGGGGAGGGACGAAAACACCACCAGCATACCCCTTCCCTATTAAAGACAAACTGTCATGTTAGGAAATGACGTGTTCATCCGGGTTCCTATGGTACAACAATCAGTAATAACGGTCTGGATAATGTTAGCTTAAAAATGACAAACAGCCAAACTTTATATTGACAAATGCAGCTCCTGACAAATGACAATGCACAAATTTTGACTGTCAGCTGCATGAAACATGTTCGGAAATTGTAAGTGACAAACAGCCGAAATTTTAATTCACAGCTGTCTTGACTTCACTTGACTTATTGGCAACTGGCTAAAGGCCAGCATTTTAACTGATAACCGATAACAAACGTTTCGCAATATATCGGCTAACAACGTAATTTGTAGTACATGTTTTGAGCCCAGGAGTATCAGTAGTTCGTATAGTGTGATCGTCCGGGTGAGTGTAGTTCTGAAAAGAACTGNTTCAGAGTCAAGTGAATAGTGTTTGTCAGTCGATGATGTTATACGTCTGATCCGTTGAACGTAATTGGTCAGTATAGCCATGATGGTATTGTATATGTTATTTTCTGCTCTCCTGTCCACTCGATCTCCTGTTTTGTTGTCAAACAATTGTGATTGGTTGACAGAAATAATATAACAGGCACCGCTGGAACGTTAAGGCGCATGCTCAGTATGTCGTTTCCCAAACATTGAAGAGTTTGGCTGCTTCTTATGAATCATTATTTATTTATTTTAGATATAGACAGAATTTTGCTCTGTCACTTAAAAGTTCTGCTGCTCCAGGGTTCCTCTTTGTTCCATACGAATTTATCGTTGTTTTTGTCTCTGAAATTTTCTCAGTTTCCTAGACTTTTCGATTCAAAGTGTCGACGCATTTTAAAACAATGAAAGTTAATGAAAAAAAATGATTTATTCCGACGTTCTCAGTATGCGCGAATTTTGGCTTCGAAATGTTAATTACTTGCAAAGATTTGAGTTGGATTAGGTTATTAGATATTCCAAAAAATAGTTGTGTTGAAGCAATTCCTCGGTACATTCAAATGTTGTAGTCTTATTCTTAACCCCCGGCATGTGGCCTACTTTCTCCTTTAAGCTCATTCGAATAACAATCATCGCATTTACATGTTCTTAGAAATAAGAAAACAGTTTACATACGTCTCTAAGCACCTCAATGAAAACACCTGTCGTAAACCTTATCGCACATGCGTCAAACTTGAACAAAACATGTCGTCTTCACCAACAGAAACCTTTTTTATCACTGACTTTTTTTATCAACGATATTTCAAATATGTTGACGAGAATTCTGGTGAATATGTTCTAAGAAAAACAATGTAAATGTTACTGAATTAAACAGGCTTTTCGTGTGTCAACTATTAATAATAAATGAATCTAATCGCCATGGCATACACGAAGGATACGAAATTGCAAAAAATTTACATTTTCACAGAGCCTGTCAAATATTCCAAACGAGGAACGGTTTCGCCACAGCGCGCGACGGTTAGCTGTCGAATAAATACTCTTTCCTTGGAAATTATCGTTTATTACACAGCAAAGGGAAGGATTTCTAGGGAACCTTTCATCTAGGAAAATGAGGGTTTTCTCATGGCCCGCATCCATGTGTATCGTGTTTGTTATTTTTTTGAACCATGTTGATGTAGTGACGAGCGCAAACGCAACGACCAATACAACCGGTGAGTGGATTTCGATTTAACGTATCTTAGTTGAGTTTCGATTCAACGTTCTTGCTAAAGAATATTCGAGAAACATATTCACCGCACGTTTGGTTACAAAAGGCTTAAAATCGTCAAATTAAACGGCGTTGTAACTGTATATTTTATTATAAAGTTTGGTCTTCAGCATTTTCCGCCAGTCTGTTAACTTACATTTCTTTAAAACACTGTTTTTCAGCGCCGTGTATAGTCACAGATCTTGATTATATAAGCGTGCTAAGTTCTCCAGAAAAATTGATGCGTTTCTCAAAAAAAAATGAATTCTATTTTTCAATAATAGCTATAACTTATTGCTAGAAAACCTTCCAATGTTTATTTTTTGCAATGGCCGATGACTGACTTCTACAACGGCAGTAGATTTGTCATTTCGATCTCACGTTCGGTTAAAATTGGACTGCCGCAAGTTTGGTTTCTACCGTACAAACCGCTCAGTTCCATCGCTTAGCGCACTCCCAGTAATATTAATAGGAAACTTGCTCAAAGTCTCTAGAAACGTGTAGGTCTTGCTTTAAATTATTAATATTTGTGAGGAGATAGAATATTCCTCAAGGAAACTGCAGAAGGAAAGAAAATGACAATTTTTAATATCGTCTCAATTAAGTTGGATGACTGTTGATTTCTTCGGCTCTTTTCCTGATGGTTCAAAATTACCGTTCACGCTTGCAAATTATGGCAACTTGTGAAAGTTTTACATAATAGGCGCAATTACTGATTCTCTTCGACTCGTACAATTTTAAACACGCTTTTGACAAAAGCCAGGATGAAGAATCAATATGCGGTTAACGATTATTGACCGGAGACTTTTCTCAGACTGTCAGAAACACAAACTCGAGAATTTTGGTAAAACCACTGTTGTGGCCGCAGACGCCACGGCTCTTCTTTTTTGGAAACAAATTGGAAAATATCTCGATTCATCTGATTCAGTTTGAAAAGCATTAAATAACACCGTTTAGAAAAATAGCTAAGGTATTTTTTCCATTTTGTCAACAAAAGGAAGTTTAAGGTCTTCTGTGTATTTGCATAGTGTGAAATGAAGAACTTCTAGGCGGAGAATTGACTTTAGTACATCTGGGTTGTTACAAGAAACAAGTAGAAGTTATGATAAAAATAACAAATCCAGGATATTTTACAGAGGAAACCCATTTCCAGAAGTTTATTCGAATTTTTTGGTTTCACTTTATTTTCTGTTCATGTCTCTTGTTTTTGCCATGCTTTAGGCAAATCGCCGCCGTTCTCGTCCTTTGCTCCTAAAGTGCAAAATACAAGAGTTGTGTTCTGAATTAATATAACAAAAGTAGCATCTATAGAAACTAAGTGTATTAAAACTAAGCTAAAAAAAATATATATATATATATATTCTGGAAAGGAGAAGAATTATGGAACAAAATACGAAGAACGTGACACGGAATACAAGTTTATTGCATATTAAGTAGCACTGTTGGTAATTAAGCTCGATATTGACCTTCAACAATCGGAATAAAAACACGAACGGTATTGATAATTTGTTTTATTTGCAACAACAGGGCAGCAATGAAAAGGATTTCTTTCTTTGTTTTTGTTTTTTTTTTTCTTTTAATTCTGCCAGCTCTTCAATTAACATGGCCTCTTAGATCTTTCTCGTTTAGCACTTCTTAGTTAGTTACATATGTTTGGCATCAACTAAAAACTCTTAGTTTATATTATTTTCAATTCATTTTAAAACTATAACGACAATCAAGAAATCTTGGTGCTATAAATTTTCTCTACATATTGGCATCTTTACTAAATCTTTTTAGAAAAGATTTTATCCGAACAGTCGTTTCAGTTTCTCAAGTTGAATCTTCCATCAGGCTTAGGCAGCATCACGTGACGCTGTTTAGCGATGTCCCTACTGTAAAATCGCGGGCTCATGCATTTTCCAGCTGAAACGCTAATTTCACCACAAGAAACCTTAAAATTACATAAGACGAACACGAGGAATTGAAATCATCGTTACGATTAAGGCTCTTAAAGGATCCTGCAAAAATCCTCGAGGATTCTTCCAACATTCTGCAACTAAATCCTCATCCTAAAATCCTCGAGATTTTTAGGTCAAAAAATCTTTCTAAAAGCCACTTTGAGATCGTACCAATTGACGATCCTTTAAGGATCCTAGAAAGATATTTGACAGGTTTTTTAAAGATCTCGAAAAGAATCTTTGGGGTTGAAGGCCTTCATGGGTTACTTAAAAAGAGGAGAAGTCTTATTTCTTCTTATTACCATCTTTTCAAAAACAGACTAACAGGGACAGCGGAACCGGGGGGGGCTGGGGAGGCTTAAACACCCCCCCTCCCAATTTCAAGCAAACAATACATAAAATAATAATTTTACAAATATCTCCAGACCCTCCCAGTTCAAAATACGCTCCACCATCCCTGACTAAGCAACAAAAAGTAAATATGATGGGAAATATCTTGAAAAAATTATTTACCGATTTGACATTGCAAATAGGAGGCCTTGGTTGGGTTTATGATCGGCTATGTGGAAAACGCTCTTCCTCAGCTATTCAATTACAGGGCGAGTTATATAACCATATTCGATAATTCCGTATTGTCGTTACAGGCTGCCAGAAACAGGTAAACAACAGATGTCCTCTCTCACTGAAGATAGACTGGTGGGAGATTCCACCCTATATTTACAAAGACAAAAATGGAGTGGTTAGCGGGATTTTTCCAAGCGTTCTGAAAAGGCTCGTGTCGGAGTGCTGCGATCGCGACCCCTCGTCAACTGACCCGAATGCAGACATCGCAGAATGCGTGAAACTCAACTTCAGTGAAACTGCTTCCAATGACTCCGAGGTGGTGAAGAAAAATATCAACTTGAATGGTACGTTGCGTTAAGCACGTTTCCTTAGGTCGCGTTTCTACATTTACTTTTCTCTGACTGGTAACGCAATGGGCTCATAATGAAAACCCATGCACCTCAGGGTTTGCACCCTTTTCCATTTGAACCATCCTCTCGTTATGGCTTACTGTTGCCTCTTCAATGCTTTCCACTTTACACATTCAGAAGCCCTCTGATTCAAATTGACGACTTACTTGCTTTTACGATGCCACGGACTAAACATTTTCCAGTGTCGCCATGCTGAAATTATCACAAACCAAACATTTGGGGTAGACTCGAAGTCAGTTATAAAACATTTTCTTTTATTATTATTATTTGACTTTTCCATCGATACAGCTGTCGGCAATTTCTTTGCAAATTTTTTATAATCTGTTCTGTCTACATCCAAAGGCACCGTAATGAGCATGCCTATATATGGAGATATGAAGGACGTGAAGTTCCAGAGCCATCCGTTCTACCCAGTGGTGGAGTCGCCTGGTGTCGTGTTCATCGTGAAGAAGGAAGATTCATCCAATGCCGCCCAAGCTGTCATGGAGGCTGTGTTCCAGGGATGGCCTGTACTTCTGCTCACGCTTATCATGGCCGCGCTTTCTGGAATAGTAGTCTGGGCACTGGTTAGTAAATACACCCTTGAATCCTTCTCTACTTGTTATTGCTGTCAAACTGGATGGTATCATTTGAAGCAATTCAGTCATGCTATCTCGTGTATGTTTGTTTGTGTACTCCGTGCCAAAACAAAAATTTCCAGCGGAACAACACATGAAAGTATACCACAAAATGTATTTTGTTGTTGTTCGTTCGTTCCTTGTCTTGTACCAGGTTTCTTATTTTTACTTCAAGCAGTTTAATTCAGAAGTTTTTTGGTTGTTTCTTTAGGATACCTACTGGAACCCAGAAGAATTCCCTCGTTCTTTCTTCAAGGGTACATGGGAAGGCTTCTGGTGGGCCTTCGTTTCCATGACTACTGTTGGGTAAGAAAATGATAATACTTCATTTTTATTTCAATGCCTGTATAGCCTTGTCCCTTACGTTTCCCGCCCCCCCCCCACCCCCACCCCACCCCGGAGTGAGGGAAAAGACAAAGGGAACAAGGTCGTGTTTTGTAAGTTTGGCCAGACACTTTGCTTTCATCACATGTTCATTTTGCATGTGGCAAAATAGATTCAGCCCATCTAAGCTGAGACATAAAACACATACTAGAACCAACTACGTAAATGATGCGGGACTTTTCCTTAGTGCAGTCTAATTCTGAACACTTGATGTACGGCCAAAAAATACTTATCGCGAACTTTACTTTTCAACTCCACTTCTCCTTTCTTTTCAGTTACGGTGACCGCGCGCCGAGATCAGTGCTGGCGCGTACGTTTGCATTCATCTGGGTTCTTATTGGTCTCGTAATCATATCGATCTTCACCGCCACAGTTACCACCTCACTGACTGCCATATCACTAAGCAACGAAATCAAGCTGTACGGATCAGACGTAAGTCGTCTGTAACAACTGAAAGTAAATATATTTTGATGTCAATGTATTTAAGGGCGCACTGTCAAGCATCGATATTTACCATAGATTAACCGGTTCTTACTCCCAAGAGTGGGGAAATTAATTATAATTTTGTTATGCAAAATTGTTAAAAACAATCACTAATAACTGAAGCATATAGTTCATTTTGTATGATTACAACAACTGCTGTTGTTAGTTAAAATGTCGGCAAGGTTCAGTTTTTTTATTTTTTATTTTATAAAAACAAGTAAATTAGGGGAATCGAATATGCCCAAGATATCTAACAGAGTGTTTGCCATAGCGTATTCAACATATAGTTGAATTCTTATGTGTTGTTAGGTTGTTGCCTTGAAAAACACAGAAGAACAAAGGCTTGGTGTAAGAAACAACGCTAAAGTGTCAGGTTGGTTAATACAAGATCTTATCCTGTCATTGTCATTATCACTCGACTCAAATGAACTTTGTAAAAATACTGAAGAAACGACGGAAAGAAATCTTTACCGGGATATTAATTCTTTTAATAATTTTATTGTAGAAAAGAATGCAGTCAAGGACCTCAAAGACGCAGTGATAAAGCAGGATCCGAAAGTAACAGGCGCTCTGCTGGACAGTTATGTCGCGGGCTACTGGGCAAAAGTCGCCTCAGACCCCGTGCTAAAGAATTCGGATCTCCGCGTGGGGACTGTGCTCGATCATCAGTTTGCTTACGGCTTTGTCATTGCTGGTGCTTTGGATAAGGAGGCCACAGAAAAATGTATGAGGAAGAAACTGAACAGCATGGAAACTGAAATTACTACCATAATCCAAGAGAAGGCAGAAACGATGGAGGTAAAGAACTCTCGTTGACTTCTGGATTGATTGAGGGTCTCCCCCATCCCCTTCTAACACCTCCCCTTATAGTCTTAGTGACATTTTCTCAGTTTGCTTGGAGACAAGATTTGAGTAAGGGATGGACCATCATTTATTTGAGGGGGGTTGGGCAATTTCCAAAAATTGTTCCTGCACAACAAAAACTGTTGAAAAAAAATCGTGAAAGGGGAGCCTCGGAGAGAAAAAAACGACCAAGCGCTTTTTAATATCCAGGTCCCTTGTTTGACTTTAAAAAGCATTCTTGCACAAGCTATTTTCTCACCGAAAAAAATATAATACACAACCTAAAGGTGAGGAAAAAATTTATGCCCCAGAAAATTGCCCAGTCTCCCCCCTCAAAAAAATAATGGTCTGTCCCTAATTACTTCCTGTTTTTTAATTAATTATCTTCAGGAACCTGGGGAGAGCGCGGCTGTGGAGAAAACGAATAATTTGTTCGATGCAGAGTCCCCGATGTTCCGAAAAGCGATCTACACCTGCGTTGGGCTGGTGGCTGTCCTGACCATCTGTGGGCTGATTTGGGAGTTTGCTTACTGGAGGCCTCGTCAGCCTAAAGAAGCCAAAACTGGTGAGTAACTGGCATAGATATATCCCAGGGGAGTCATTAGATTACTTATGTCTTTCTGATGAAGAAAACTTTAGATCTCCCTGGGGTACACTTTAAATATCTTTCCCGCACCCTTACCGCAAACAAAGGAAATCATGACCGTGACGATGTTTGGAAATCTGATCTTAATAAGCATAGATTTTTACGATTTTATTTCCACGTTTTCTCCTTACTTTTAGTTTTGATTGACAAGATATATCAAACACTCAAGACAATGTCTGACCACATTTCCAAACTCAACACCTCGAAGTTCGTCAAAACTACTCTGCTGCGCGTCGTACTTCAACTCTCTTCTCGGTGTTTGGAAATATGATCAAGCGCGCTCTTTTTTGTTTGATATATCAATTACAACTCACTGGTCCTCCATAATATCCTACATTTTTTGCCTCGATTTTTATACTGTCTTGTTCTTTTCTGCATCAGAGGTTGAACGAATTGTGACACCAGAAACCTCTTATGAGAACCTGGTTGCTATGCAGTGCGCAGAGATCGAGGAGGCTATGATGAACGAAGTTCAGCGATTCTACATCGCCTGGAATAAGAAACTGGAAGACTTGAAACGTAAAAACACCGGCGGCCAGATGAGCCCTAATGATATGAATGTGATGGGAATGGGTGTGAGTGGTGGAGATATGAGGAGCATGTGATTTACACGTGACTGTCACGTGTTGTTTTGACTGTCAGAGGGTTTAACATTTGTTTTACTATCAGTTCTATATTTATTGCAAAAACTTAGTTTGTTAGTTTATGACATCTCAAGTGTAAAACTTCTGTCAGAGTAAATACAACAAGCCAACTTTTATGTAGAAGGACGACATTTGGCGAGATAGTAACTCTTAACTCTTGTTAACTCTTCAGTGTTATTTCGTCAGCTCAGAGTCTAAGGAAAAAAGTGTTCTCACTTCCCCACAGTAGTTATTGAGCAAATTCCTTTAATTTACAAGATACAATGATTCTCAATACTACCCGATGACAAAGTCTTTCCACGTGAGATTATTTAATTTTTCAAGTCCCCCTTTCCCAAAACAATGTTGAAAATTTTCGCAACCTTGGCTGAATACAATTCAGCGTTATATTTATTTGATGGCTAAAATGTGTTTGACAAGCATTGTAATCTCTTTACTATTTAAAGTTTTCGCTTTTCAGCAGGTTTTGAAAGGCGTTAAAAAGTATATTTTATAGCATAAAAATAGGCGACAATACCTTAACCAACGTGGAAGTGATGTTAAACCCGTTTCACAGTAGCCTTCATACTGTAATTCGCGTCAAGTTAAAAGTAGTGATTAGAAAAGCCTTTACTCAAATTACGTAACGTTTTCCGCAGCCATTTTCTCACATTTACGCCATGAGTGATTTGTTTGCGTCCTCTTAGCCTCGTTTTGAAGTTCATGAAGACGAGGCAGCGGGACAGCAACAAATGGCTTCTTGGAACGTTCGTTATTATTTTGCTGTTGCACTTACGATAAAAACTACATTAGTAGGCTTTTGATACGCGCTTTATCTCTAATATTTGCAATCTTGTTACACCCATATATTATAGTCGTGACAGAAGACGATTAAGCGTCCGATCAGGTTAACTTAGGCTGTGTTCACACTTAATTAGTGCCTGAGCACTGGTGCCTGGGTAATGGCTGGAGATAGTGTTGCGTTCAGACGCGATGTTCTCAGAAGAACCCGAGTACCATTTAGTGTCCGAGTGCAAGGTCGAAACCTTGTAGCCGGGCGCGGGCACTGTCCCGAATTCTCGGGCACCGTACTCGGGTACCTAGTGTAATCATATCCAAAACATTTCAGTGCGGGTACGTCACTGGGTAAGGCGTTTTGTTATCACTTTGTGTTTATTCCAAAGCGGCCTCTATTTTAAAAATAGCCATGGTTAACACGGTGTAGATTAGAACACATATAATATTGCAGGTTGTTTACTTTGTTAAATCGTAATACTGAACGAAACTGGTTATGATTCCCTTGTAGGGGTGGTCACGGGGTATTCAGTGAATGGGCTTTGCTTAACTACAGATACGTTTGCAGATAGGATGGCTGAATACCCTCAAAAGTTAGAAGGAAATCTTAAGGATAACTCATATGCTTTGGGGCGTTTCCAATTGACAAGATGAAGGCAACAAATATTACAATATAGAGTAGTTTACGTAACTAACAGTGAAATGGCGCTTTTATAAAAAATAGATAAACTTAAACATAAACTTTAGGAGGATGCTTTGGTTTCAAAATAACTGAAAGCAGCCCCTTTTGGAGTGTAACGTGCAAAGGGCGGGCAACCTGCAGTCTGAGGAAACTCTCTTTCCTCTTTGAGTAAACTTACGCTATCAATCATTTCTACTTATGCATGGTTTTAGATTGTACATTATGTAAATTCCGACGCTTTTGCTCCCGAAAGTAAAGTTATAACGGTACGTAAAAAATAAGGAATCACTGTGAAAATGTGAACAACTGTGTTGCAACAACTTTTTTTATTGCTAAGGTCTTTTCGGACTCACACTGCACATAGTAGTTTTTCTTAGAAGATGCAAATTAAAGTTTTTGAAAACCATTTATGTTACGCCAGTTGATCAGTGTTCGGCAAATTAGTTTGTTGGTACACGAAATGAACCGCGTGGAATGCGTGGAACACGCGTGGGAACGCGAAAACGGAAAAATGTGAAGAAAAAGCTTGGAAACGTCTCCAAGAGCTTCAGAGGCAAAAACGCTTGCGACACACGGGCGAACGTGCGTGGAAATAGCCATAGGGAATCCACAAAGAGTGAAAAACAAGATTCAAAGTGTAGGCGGAACACGCCGCGCAACGGCGAAACAAAATTGCGAGACAACCACCATGATTCCCTGCGAGCTCATCTTGGCCATTAGCCAAGTCAAGTTGGTAGATTCCAGACTCCCAATGCGTACAGGTTACTTTGTACCCATGCACGCATTAAAATAATCAGATCTTTGATTTTCCTTCAATAAATCTTCAAAAATCTATTATTTATAACTCAGGTTCTCTTTATTTCCGTTCCTGAAGCTTTGTACAAGCATATAACAGATCTTTTACAAAATTTTCCTCTCTGGTCCTTAAGACTAAGTTTGCTTAGGAAATACTAAGCTCAATTTTAATTTTATCTTTAAGAGTGATCACAACCCAATTTCTTTTCATGAATATTAATACATAATCATTCACACACGTCAGGAGAATTACGTAAATTATCAACAGATAAATTGCCATGATAGTCAACAGGTTTTTCCAACTGCTTCTATGGGAAACAATATGGAAACCCGAGTGTTGACGTTAGGTCTTTACTCAGCGCATGTTTCGATTGAATATGCAAATAACTAACGATATTTTTCTCGAAATTATTCCCTTCTGCAAGAAAAATATTGCTTCAAAGCCAACCTACAATGACAACTATACCCAGGCCCCGCCTTTGGGTCACTAAAAATGTGATCGTGGAAGTCCTGGGTACGAGAATTATAAACTACTGATGCTAAAACGTTCCGAATTGTACACTTAAATAGCTTATGAACAAACAACTACACTGGAATATTTAACAAAGGAGATATAAAATGGTAAAACTGAAAAAAAAAAATACCGGTACGTTGAAAATGGAACATTTTCCAGTCTGAACATCGCTTGCATGACCTTCTATATCTGCGGTCAGAGAACTGTCTAGAAATAATGGCACGTTTCACGAATTCTTCACCAGGCAGCTTTGTTATCATGATCTAACAATGCAACGATGCAGTAATGCGTGTTTTAACAGGTTATAATCATCCAAGAAAGACACTTAATCTCGAGTAATGAACACAAACATTCTCCTTACAATATCCATATTTATTATAATTATGGCTAGCTCCGAGCGCGGTACAAGAAGAACTAAAACCTGCGCTGTGATTGGCTACCCGAGCGGGAAAGATGGCGTTATCCCGCCCGCGCGGGATTATCGTCTGTTTCCTTCAACTTACTTACTTACGATGGTTTCTGTTTGACATAAAAGAAATCCGACTAACATGGCCAATATCCAGTGACAACCCGTACACAAATTTTCGCAGCCAGGTATTGAGAACATAGATCATAATCTTGGTGAAATGCCTTGATGAACAACTAAATTCTCACAAGGAACGTTGATAGAAATGCGTGAAGAGAATTAACGGATAAGCGCCACACCCCTGAACAACAACGCGGCGTTAAGTGGATACGAATATGCCCCGCATCAAAAAGCTCTCGAGTAAGGTACTCTTAGAAATATGACCAAGGCCAAAAAGGCCATAGGTTGAGTTGCCTACCTAAATAAAAACATTTCTCGGCTGAAAATTCACCGGCAAATTGCATATGAAAACGGCGAAACCAAAATGTCGATCGCGTCTGCTTACATTTTGTATCAAATCGTTGGGTAAATGTACCATATTTGAACAATAGAACTATAGTTAAACGGCCTTCAAAATATTACAATATTAACTTCTATACTACTATCTTTTTTATCGTGTATTTTTATCGCTAAGAAAATACAATATTTTGCCAGCTAATCTCTGTAGAGAATACTTACTTTTCTTTTGTTTAAGTTACTTGTTTTATGTTTAATAATACAATTACAAGAATTTTTACTCCGTGAATGATGCAGGTACTTTAAAAAATAAACATTTTCTGTTCATTACGTGTTGCTAGGTTCGACCGATGTGAAAAACCACTCGCTGAACTTCCGAAGCTGATGCGAAGCTGTCCGAAGATCTTCTTGCAGTTTTTTGTTTTCTCTCTGCAGTCTTCGTAATTCCGAATCTAGGCGTTGTTTGTCTTCTCCCTCCTGTTCAGAAAAAGACAAACATTCAGTGTGAAGTTGTAAACAAAGATTCTCCTATAGGGATGTGAAATAAAAACTCCAACACACCTTCATCAAAGCGTTTGACACAATGGCAAGCTTCATTTCAAGCTCAGCCTCTTTTCCGATGCTCTCCCTTGTGAGCAAACTGAAATGAATATTAAACACCGATACATGAACACCTAGAATTTTGCTAGCATTAAGGATAAAGCCTAACATTAGCCTTCCCTACAAGGCCAAGCCTTTGCTTTGATAATACATGACACTGTCTATATAGCTGGGACAGTTTTCTAACGAGTAAGCAAAGTTCACACGCCTGAGTCACAAACCAATCAGAACCCTGGAAACAAAGCACGTGACATGTGCAAGAGCGGGAATTGTCGTTTGTGCCAAATCCTGATTGTACTTGATTGGTGTAGAGAACTGATGTCTTTACTTTGATTGAGTAGTGCACACGCGAAAGGCTCTCGACTGGGTTGTACAGGTCAACCATAGAACAAGAGTCAGTGAAACGCGAACTTAATGCAAAAGCCGCTTGTAAAACATCTTTACTGAAGGAGAATTATGTCAACATGCAACTGAGTAACTAGTGAGGCCACGGATCAGTGCCTTTCTAGAAAATACAACCAATTTGTTTACATGTAGCGGAGCTACACTACGCTGCGAAACACCCAAGATCTCAAATCGTGTTCAAAACGACCGGAAGTCTAAAAATGTTTTTTTCTGTTTCGCAGCAAGCAAGACTTACCTTTCACCAGAATTTCCTTTGGAACTCTGTAAAAAGACAAAACAAGTAAACAAGAAAGTTAACGTTACTATTTTTAGAAAAGAATTAAATTGCAATAACTTTTTCAATTTGTTGTTATTGTCAGCGTCCATTGAATTCACAAATCAACTAGTTGTGCGTGACTTAGGAATATTTAAAGTAATAAATAAGGCCTCCTTGACTTCTGAAGTGATACGATTTGCTTATCTTTGATGGTGATGGAGAACAAGAGGACGATATTTGGTCGTACAGAATATATTGCTCTTGTACGGGGTAACCTGTGTTAACGCTACTCAACCAAAGAATGAAAAAAATCCATTAAAGAATTTAAAGATTTAACTGTTATAATTAACATCTTGGAAGCTGGCTAATTTGAAAACGAAAGAAAACGATTTTTGGAGAGTTTGATTCGACTCGACCTAATTAGGCTGCAGTGGCACGATGTGCTGAATCCCACAATACAACTTATAATCTAAGTGCATGGACGAGTGCTACATAGTGTAGTAATTACTCTTCAAATGAATTCTTTCAGCAGGACTTTCATGTGACCGGCTATTTGTTTTGTTTTGTTTTGTTTTTTTTGCATTTGGCAAAATGAATTTTTTTTTTATTTTAATTTTGACCCTGAGCACTCTTGGCAGTGAAAGGTATTTAAACTGCGTATCGCATCGCTATTCCAGCCAACTTTGTAGGTTTTGACAATTGGGTACGACCCCATTGGCGATGGCCAGATAAGAAGCTATGATACACACGCAAGTTAACGATCTTAGCTCGGTTTCACGTACAAATACAAGTTAAACAAGGCCGGAACAAGCAAGTGGAAACACCTCATGTAGCTTAAACATTTAAGTTAACAGATTGGACAGAATGGGCGAACATTTACAATCACGTCACAGACAAAAATAATTCCTAGATATGGTCAGTGAACCATGTATTATCGAAAAGGCATGAAGAAACCTAACACACGGAGAATTTAAGGACGAGTGTGTGAGAGTGATTTGAAAAAAAAGTGCCAAAATATAATACGGATCTTTAAAACTAAAACAGTCTTCAACTGCACTAATTATTTCAGTTTCTCATGAGTGGTCATTTTTGTTCGCGCTGTGCGTTCTGTTTCAGTGATTTGAAACCATTTCAACGTAATTGCAACAGCATTCTTCCCACACCACCAAAGAGCTTTGATATGAGGAAACTGAACTCTCAGCCTTCAGCATACACACTGGCAGTCGCAACAAAACAAGTACAATACGTGTATCTTCACAATAAATCCTGACACTGAAGCAGCTCGTGTAGACCCGTGTATGCTGTCAGAGACCGCATGTATGCAAACAATAATAATATCAACCGCATTTGTTTCAATTATTCAAGACTAACAACCTAACCCCAACTTTTGTTGTGACTTAAGGAACTGGCATTTTGCAAGTTAGCACTGTCGCAGACTAGATTTTGCCACAACCAAGAGCATTAACACACCACGTCACAATGTTTGCAGTTATAAGTGCAACGCTATGCAACATTTAAGAAGGTTTATCTTTAATCCAGTGAATTCGCACGTTATACAAACATTCCAAGAACGACGTATGTTGAAAACGGAATGCAAAAACTTCACTTACCGGCGCGGCAAATATTCTCTCGTCGAAGCTATGTCTCCTGGGAACAACAGGGATATAAAACTTGTGAGGTCCGTGAGAGCGGCCGCGACCTGCAGTACAACAGAAAAAAACATGAACAACTTTAGATCGAGTGCCTTCGGTTGAAGATTGCATGCTAATTGAAGTGGCGGTCCCTCACCTGAACCGGCCGATGATGGCCGAACATTCGTTCGCCACAGTATTCGGGCAGGTTTTGGCTGCGTTGGATCAGACACAGGCATGGCGAAAATATCTAGCTACGGAAATTGAGAGGCAAGCGTTCACGAGGCGCCATTGTTGTCCATTTCAGGACGCTGTGGTAATAACAATCAAAGCCGCAGGCTTGTTTATTACGGTAGAGCGAGTCTTTTGAGAGAAACTGCGGGCGGTCAGGGATTCGTTAAATTATCGCACCAGACAGTTCTGGAGCAACAGTGCCTCATTTGAATTTTGACAACACTTTCACTCTCAGTCTCAAACGATAGATTCTCCTTACCCATTGTCGAACATTTCTTTGTAAATTAGCTGTGAGAAACTGGTTTTACATTAAGACGATTTCCCTCCTGATGATGTTCGTTATTCTCAACACTTGTCTACTCGACAATGTACGAATATTGTAAGAAGAAAATAGACGTCGATCTTTGTTTAACGGTGCTAATTGATGTTGATGGAACAAGCCATCTTCCACAGGTTTTACATTATTCATCAGTTCATAATTCAACTTAAGCCTAAACCTTTACACAAGAATTTGACCGCCTCATTTCTGGGGGCAGAACAAGACGGGAGAAATAACTTATAAAAAAGAATTTCCGCAGGAAGGTTTTCCGACCACACCTTCAAGACCTTCAAGTGCTTGGAGGCAAAAAGACGGATGTTGACAAAACACCGACATGGAATAGGAAGGGTTAATTATGTTTTCAAGAATTACTTGTCATTGTTAGACATATCAGATGTTGACGAACAAGTGAAGATGCTATCAATACAACATGATCTTATCAGGACAAACCATTCAACAAAAAGGTTACGCCATTAACAAAGTGATCTTAATTTTAAGGTCACCAATGCTCCTGCTGTGTTTCTCTTCCATCATCTCTGTTGGCTTAAAAACAACTAGTTTGTTTTGGACTTCTCAATTGTAAGAGAAGTCCACGAATGGTAGTCCAGTACGCTCGCTTTATTTCAGCCGTTTTTGGCGCGAGGTGAAAGCCTGAAGCAGGTAAACTCAAACTCCTCAAGGACCTTGCGCAACGCCGCTAAATGACAACTTCAAAATCCAGAGAAATCTCGAAATCGCTTTGAAACATAACTAAATAACAAAAGAAGATACTCAAAAAGCTATGGTAGTATGGCTGTAATTCGCATTGAGGGCCACTAGTTTGTCAATACTCGACCGTACAGTCATAAAACAAATTCATTTTGTCTGTACTTGAAACTAAGATTTCTAATTCTAATTCTAAGATTTCAGAAATAGCGGGTGAGAGATAAAGTAATGAAACCACAGCAATACACTGACTTCCGATACGAAACATTTTAGCATATTTTAAATATTTCCACAGCTGTATGTCCCTTTTTTCAGAAGCAGAACTACGACAGCTACAGTTGTCTTAAATTTGTGTTACTTTATCGCACAACGTCACACGCGTAAAAACCATAACGTTCTCGAACACACGATTCGAACTCAACAGGTCGACAATGCAACCAAAAAACGATACTAAAACAGAAGAGCGTGATCATTTGGTCAATATACCAAAGTACAACCTAAAAATGTAAAAATTTATGAAATTTGCTGAAATATTTACATTTTTTGAATGCCATGCAAGTTTCTATACTTACGTTATAAGCTATTTATAACTCAAACATAAACGCACTTCCGATTTAGGTTAGCCTGCGTTCCCGTACCGAACTTTTTCCGCACCCTGGCCGCGCGCAAATCGACTCTCTCCAATTTGCGCGCGGCCAGAGAGCAGAAAAAGTTATTCGTATGGGAACGCTTACTCCACTAAAATTCCACTAAAACACGGTATCATTCAATCTATGCAGAATGGAGTTCGCATTGTTCTCGATGTTGATAACCTTGATGCCCGCTTTACTACGTAGCTTATTTCTCTCAGAGATAACAAGAGGTCAATAACGCAGATACGAGTCAGACGTTGTAGATAAATTAACCACCCTTTATCAAACGTTGCGTGATGCTACACGTCACGCCCTTAAAGGAAACCAGCACGTCTACATACAGTGAGTGCAGCACACGAAACGCAGGTCACGCAACCGAGAGGAAAACGTGTTTTGTTATGTTTCGCGAGGTTTGTTTTCATTAAAAAGAAATACACAACTCAGCCGAGAGATGAATGCAGCCTCTGTAGCCACGCAAGGGAAGATCGAGGACCGGACAACCAACAACTTCAACAGATCAAACATTTTACAACTTCCTTCCGTTTGCTCGGAACGAAATAAAAACACACGGGAACAAGATGCAGAAAAACAAAACGAATGTAAATATGCACCATATCCACCACTCAAACATTCTTAAAACAATATAACTATTTCAATATTTAGCTGGCAAAAAACGCACAACAAAATACACACACCCTGTTGTCAGAAGGACATTTTAACCTCTTGAGTGCCAGATGACATCACGCGGATTGCAGCCGAACTTGCATGTAGGAAGCTTTAACACAGCAGGGAAACACTTGTACAAAATTACTTCGCAGGAGTGGTATTAAAAGTGGAGTTCGAGTACAAAAGAATTAGACATAAAAATTAAGTGCAGAGAGAGTCCTGTTGTGAAAAGTTAAGACTCGGCACAGCGCCAGAAAACTATCATTTATATTAATTTTAAAGACACTGACTTTGCATTTGATTTCAACTCGACTCATTGTTTCAATTTCAAAAGGAAATTGCTTCGAACATAATCCCCTAATTGTAAAAACCACGAAACTTCTAGATATATTTCTTGACTGATTCTTCAAAACTTTAACGACTTCATGCAAATAGTTGTAGACAAAATTATCTTAACTTTACGATTAGCTTCGAGCAATGAATCTCATAAAACACACACAGATTGCATGTTAGAATATGCGGCGAAAGTACCACAAGACTTCGAATTGCTTGGATACTATGCCAAAACAGCAAAAATTGCTGTCAAAGATTAGTTTCTCTCAAGAAAAAAATGCAATTAACCCCAAATAAAGTAAAAATTCAATTCATCACGTTCGTGTAAACATAATTAGTGCGCGAGTGATTGCTCCATTGTACAGCCGCTAAGTAATTAAATGCCGCAAAACACTTTGTGTAACAGCTAGCTCTTCACTTAAAACACGCAATCTCTTTTGAATTAAGGCGAATAAGATTTAACTTTGAAGCTGCGAAATAAATAATCCTTCTGTTGCAGTTTGCTGGTAATGTCAGAGGGCACACAATGCAGGCGTTCCCATCAGATGTATTAAACTAAGCTGTAGAATTTAGCTGCTAAAAACTTACTTCCACCAATTAAGTTGTTCTTATACAAATTCCTTGGATACTGCGGTTGTAGACATGACTTGGGGATTCCAAAAATAGTGCCTAAATCCCATTTTCTTCTGGCCATAGCGTATTCTGTTCTCCCAACACTCATGGCTCTTGTGTTTACGAAATTGAATACCTTTCGCCGAATCAATAAACGGGTTGTCACCTTCTAATGTCACGCAAATATTCCAGAACTATTTCCGTCGATTACGCAATATAAACAATCACTTCTATGTGATATGTGCGGCACGTCTAGAGTCAATCGTAATGACAATATTACGTTAGATTCTCGATGTTTTCCAAAAATAACTCACTTGAAATGTCGACAACAAAATGGATACAACTGGTGCTTAATTTTTTTTCGCCCTCCTGCATTTCCTGCATAATGTTCAGACCGGATGAACACTTAATGGCTTCGTAATATTGGTTTTCCTCATTAATTTGTGACAAAGATTTAATCTTGCTTTACGACCCCTTGCGCAACATCGGCGTATGTCAAAGTCTAACAACATTTTTCACCAAATCCAATTTTTTAATCACGTTCAATAGTGAAAACTATAACTGCTACAAACGAATCGAACTCACTGCTGACTAGCGTTCGTTTGAATGGCCACGCACTAGGGTTTGTCCACAGACTTAAAAGTTAGAACCACCTTGTACCAAATGAAAGTACTGTACTGCTCAATAGCTTTCATTTGAATGGTCACACACTATGGTTTTATCCACAGATTTCAATTCGTTTTTCAAGCAAATCTCATTTAAACGGTAGAACATTTTTCTCAGTAAGATCAGGAGAGAGAACAAGAGACGCGCGCAGATCAGAAATGCATCCCACGCCTTCATATTTCTAACATTTTTCATACTCAAAATCACAAAGTTTGTAATTTTAACTCAATCTCTCCCATGCCCAGCAGAGCGGATACTTTCCGGAATTTTGGGTGGAGGTGGGTTTATCAAAAAGTTCTCAAAAGCTAATCCCATTTCCACGCCCTTTTTCATACTTGATCACAAAACTGTCCCCCATTTCAGATCCAACCTTGTAGTTGGCCAAATCAAACTATTCAACACCATTTTCTACTTAGTATGTGATTTTCTAACATCATGCAAGCATCTACCACTAATCCTTCAGGGACAAAATGACACACATTAACAGAAACTGAGGAAGGGCAAAAATTCTGAGAGTTCTGGCTCTAGGTAGCCCGCGAACGTAAGCGAATTTCTGCCTTTGTTGACGCTGCCATGTCAAGGAACGTCTCTCCCTCCCCTCCCTTCTTCATCCCTTACCATCCCCACGACACTTACCCGGTGCCTTTATTCTGCTTAGTGACTTGTCCTTATCCTTTCTGTCCCTCTCCTCCCTAGAAGCAGATGACTGGTGATGAAGCAGATCTGACGCGCGTGTAAGAGAATGCAGCACATCTTCTGCTATAACAAGAGACGAACCTTTATCATATTTGACACCTTTTGTGGCGTGTAAAAGCCGCGAAGTCTGATCCACGATTGAATCATTTGGTTCTTCGCTGGCGCTCATTTTAATCTTGGTAATCCGCGCTCCTTTGAGATGCGAGGAATGGGAATGAGAGTGCGTGCGATGACTGCGAATCTCGCGCGAGTCACTCGCGCGTGGCGAAGTTCCTGCCTCCAACTCGCGCGGGAGACTAGAAGACTTTTTGTTCCTGTCAGGAGTAAAGTGCAGTTTTCCCGCCACTGTCGGAGTAGCGTCGACAGAATCCCCGCCTCGGGTTAACCGTGCCTTGCTTTCTTCATCAGAAGAGTCCGAATTCCCACCAGCCGCTGCAACCAATTGTTTGGAAACATGTCTTTGTCGTCTGCTCGATCTTTGACGAGGAACTGTTTGAGATTTGTCGACAGCATGGGAGCCCGAACTCGTAGAACTTGTCAGACGGATTTTTCTTTCGGAGCGTACCACAGGTTTAGCGGTTCGACTGCTGTCTGGAGTTCGAACTTTGACATGAGGAGACTCGGACGATTTCTTCCGCCTGGAGTGGTGCGCCATCTTAACAGCATCCCCGCCGTCCCTCTCTGAAGACAACATCCTGGCGCTCTCATCTTGGGATGATTGACGCGGTCTTGCGAGTTTTCCGCCGTTCATGGCCCTCCCGCCGTCAACCGGAGTGCTTCTGCTCTTGGCGTGGTAGATCTTAATGCCTTCCACGTTGTCGCCTTCAAGAGACTGTCTATGGTTTTCCAGTCGTTCTATGAGCAGATTTCGCGCAGCCATACGCGCCTCATACTCTGATTTCCGCATGGCCTCCTTCTTGACTTCAACTGATGTTGGTGATGCTTCCATCACTGTAGCAGTCTTGCTTTTGATCACGTTCTGAGGCAGATCACCTTCGCTCTTTCTCTGAAGAACTCTATCGTGTTCTTTATTGGCTTCTTTTGACAACCGTTTCAGAATGTTTGCAGGAGATTCTTCATCGTCGCTGCTCCTGTTTCGGTTGAGCGATTCTCCTGACTGCGCTCTGCGCGTCAAATGCAGGTCCTGCATGGAGTTAGAAGGACTCCTATTGCCGTTTTTCAACCGCTTGCTGCCAGTCCGCTCCAGACTCCCTGTCCCGTTTGCGATCATGTCGGGAGTTTTAAATCCAAACGCTCTTTCGATCTGATCTACCGTGTCAGACATGGTCGCCTCAGTAATGTCTTCATAACTTTGTTTCTGTTTGTAAGTGTTGACGGTCGTGATGACCGCACCAAGACTAGTTTCTTTGAAAGGCATAGCAGCAGCCTGCATCTTCTCACCATCCGCTGTTTCAAGACTCTGCTCCCTCGTGTTACCATTACTGGGCGTTGAAGCTATAGGATCAATGTTCACTCGAAGAGTTCCGAAACTATCCGCCGGCGTTCGGGTTTCTTGCGCGTTTCCCTCCAACCTGGAAGGGGTATCCCCATGTCCCTGTCCATTCAGGACCACTCTCCGATGTCTCTGTGAAGTGCTTCCAAATATGGGGGTCTCTGGAGTGCGCGGAGACAATGGCGGAGATGAGGGTCCACTCGCAATGGCATATAACGTACCTGACGCTGTATGGGCCGTTAATGTCACGCCCACAGATTTGGTGGGGCGTGGTTCTGAATCAAGCGCAACGAACCCGCTCCATTTTGGTCCCTCATGTGCTTCAGGGGCACCCTGGAGTCTTTCCTCGCTAGGCGTTATGCTTGTAACTGTATAGGAAGCCCCGTATGTAGCGCCTTGTTGTCGCGGCGTTTCGTGGAGTGTTGACGTGCTACCGCTGACAGAAGACGCTGAGCTCGCCCCAGGGGATCCGGGTTGATCCGGAGGACAGGAGCCTGGGTACATAGCTCTGAAAGAAACAAAACATGGAAACCTTAACACTAGAGACTTGAAGGACCTAGCGTTCTAGCTGAACGGAGCAGACGATTGTTCACGAGTGAAAAAAGGTTGAGAAAGAAAGAGAAAAGAAAGAAAGACTAATTAAGTGTCAAAGAGTATTTACCTTCAGAAAAAACTAATTGGGGACACTATTTTGACCCCAAGTATATCTTAGTTACATAAAATTAAATTTATTTACAATTCAAATTCGATGAAATAGGCTCCGTGGCATTAGGCATTGTTATTACAGACCAAATTAGGGAAAATTTGCACAATGCCGACGAATATCTAAAAGATCTTTTTATGCAAAATGAAATCCTGTGCACAACAACTGAAGATAATAGTTTTCATTCTGTTTATTCTAACCTAGCTTCCAAAGGTGTTGAGTTCGCTTGTTTGATCCACGGACTTTCCTTTCCTTTCACTCCGTTCTTTGACGATCCTTTTGATGGCTGCTTCCGTCCGTTGTCAGGAGCTGATATGGACGAGTTGGAGGCTGCCGAGAGATCACGTGACTCCGCTTCCTCTGCTACAGATGATGCGCTGCCGAACGACGACATGGTCGTGACTGACGCACGACTGGACGAGGTCCAGTAGGAACCACTAAGGGGCTGGATACCCCTGGGGAAAGAAAATGCCATGGGGGTTAGATGCGTAAGCGGTGCTTTGAGTGAGAAACGTAAGGGGGTAGGAACACCTGAGGGGCTGGATACCCCTGGGAAAGAAAATGCTGTGGGATTAGATGCGTAAGGGGTGTATGAAATGAGACAGGTAAGGGGGTTGGCATAACTTGAGGGGGGGGAACAACAAGGGAGATTGAGACAAGCAATGTCGGGGTGAGCAAATTCAATGAGTGGATACAAGGGACGGAGTTTGATATCCCTCGGGGAAAAAAAGACATAACACGGAAAGGATAACCCTGGAGGAACACAAAAGGACATAAGTAGGTTACAGCAAGGATGGCAGACAAATAAAACTCACTTTCTCGGCTTGCCGCTCTGGAATGGAGGCACGATGACTGCAGATACCGATCCTGGCTTGCGTAATATGTCAATCATCTGATCATGACTCAGAGTGGCTACAATCATCCCATTAATCTGATAAATAGTAATCATAAGTTATTAAGTTATCAATAAGGAAATAATCACACTAAACACAAACTTATGATCTACAATGCCGATGCAGTGACTCCGTGAAAGCAATACGTTATCAAACCACCACTCACAGCAGTCATAGTGTGGAGGCGTACCTCCTTAGAGTCTCCAGCAAAAACTTGCACATCCGTAATTTCAGAAAAACTCTAGTTCGAAGAATTAAACTTTAACGAATTTATCTACCCATGTTTAGCTGTATTATGCCAATGTTAGCATCACACATGAAACACTGAGAAACTACAAGGATTAAAGCTCTTCATTTCCATGAATTCTACGTTCCATTCCCAATTGTAAATACGTCCTTTTCCCATTAGCAGCGTTGCTAGCTTCAAACTCGACATTATTCATGATACAATAGCTTGTCTTAGCTTAAGCAGTTAGTAAGTAACAAACCTCCACCAGCCGAGATCCTTGCCGCAGTCCAGCTTGCCAGGCAAAACCAGACGGCTCGACATCTGCAATGAGTCCCTCAAACTGGACGTGGAATCCTAACTGACCCACAGTATTCCGCCGTAACGTCATGGTTTGGGTCTGAAAGTGACGAGAACAGGGGCTTTCATACAACACTAGATATCAACAATCTGTTGCCAAGGTACGTACATGTGCGTGCATTACGTTATCGAAACAGTTCCTCGATGACAACAAAAGTTTCACACTGAGGCACTATACATATAGATACAGTACATGTACGGCTTGCAACAAAAGATAATTTCGTTCTGGTAAAGTCTTTGCTAAATTCGGATTTCAAGAATTTAGACTGGCATTTAGTCATGTAGATACATACATAAAGCAGCGACGCGACAAGAAATCCTGGTAGGAATATCTGTTTTACCTGACAACCGATGGAAATTTCTTCAAGTCTTCTGACAATCTCTGGAATGTCATCCGAGTCAGATGTTGGAATGTTCAACACCAGGCAGTCTCCACTACCGTAAAACACTTTAATGCTGCAAGAAAACAAAAATAATAACAGAAATAAATTACAATATTTCAAGAGGAAGCCATATCAGCCTTGGCTGGTTTTCATGCAGGTCCTCTCTCCTGGTCGAATTAGAATTTGGAGATGTTGGTTTTTGCAGAGGGCGGAAAACTGGAGAACCCGGAGATAACCCTTGGAGCAAGGCAAGAACCAACAACAAACTCAACCCACATATAGCAACAGACGGGAATCGAACCCAGGCCGCATTGGTGGGAGGCGAACGCTCTCACCATTGTGGAAAAACGTTCAAGATTAGGACGTTGTGCCTTAAAGGGACAAAGTCTTAACCTTGTACGTTTTTCCACAACACGAAAAAAAACAATACAATACCTATAATACAATATAATACCTGTAATATAATCTGTCACCAACAATCTCTTACACTGTGTCCACGAAGAGCAGTTTTTATCATTTTGGGGGTGAATTTTTTTATTCTTTGATTGTAGATATGAAGATAGGTAGCTAGTTGGTTATCATAAACAGACCGATGGTAATACCATGTATAAATTTATAAAGTTATCGTATTGTGTCGTATTGTACCTTTGTGAGAGGGAGGTCCATCCAATCACAGACTTAGCTGGAATGCTAAATATGACTTCCTGCACAGAATAAAACAAAACAAAATTGGATCATGAATGCTAAAACAGCTAGAAGAATTCTATGAAAAGCCATGTATGTCTTAAGTCTGCCTCATGGTCTACTGAGAATCTTTCAGCCCTGCTGTCCTACAGGCTACTGACTGAAGTACACATGTAAAACAACTCTGTGTCATGTCTCATTGCTTACCTTGGTAGAAGAATGGACCAACACCAAAGTATCAGCAGAGATTCCCATCTTGCAGTCGATCATGGAGGAGTTCCTGTAGTCTTCAACCTGCAATGTTTGTTTCCCATATCAGTCAGTACTGTAAATTCACACGAAAGAAAAGAAGTATACCACTGTCTAACTTTTCTCCAGAAAATTATCATCACATGACAACTTTGGTCCCATTATTGAGACATGACAACCTCAGTTCCTTTAGAAAACCATAAATTTATATAATAAAAGCTCTACTAGACTGCAAGCAGTCTCTCCTTTGCTGGAAAGTCTGTGGGGAAGGGCGCAAAACAAGTGAATGTGCAAGTGTGACTGCAAGCGTGACATACGGGCGGTGAGCGGTGTAGCCAATGCCCGCACTACTTGCAGTTTGCGCCTTCACATATCAAGCTCACACGCTCACGACCCCTCACTTGTGTTGGATTTTTGAGCAAAAGAGGGTCAGTCTGCTCGCAGTCTAAAGCGTTAGGGGAAAGAGACTGAAATTTAAGAGAATTACCTGTACTTGCCAAACTAATGCCCCTCTTGAAACCTTTTCAGGACTGATGGGTGGCCGAACTTTCTCCTTCTTCTTTGTCGACCTTAAAATACCTGAAGAAACAGAGATGCACCAAAAGAACAGCATTAACTTTGCTAAACATATCGCATGTTAGCTATGTACTTGTGTTACTGTTTACCTTTTCCTTTAGCTCCTGTCTCAAGTGTGGTGTTGGTGACGAAATTTGTGGCGAGATCTTTCAGATATTCATGTCTTGTCCTTGTGGCCATTGCACTGAACTTCTCTGATTTGTGTGCAGCATTTTCAGCATTTATCACTGTGATTAACACAAAAATAAAACATCAAGTCTCATTTCCAATTCCTTTCCATGGTTCTCAATCCATAAGTGTTTTCACATGAAGTCACTTCGATAGAATAAACTACATTCCTTACCTTTTGTCAGCAGAAAATCTACAAAAGCTTTCTGTTTGCCAAACTTGGCTCCTGCAGGAATGTTTGGCCCAAATGGAGGAACATCTTTTGAACGGCTTACTGCAACTCTAAAGAGGGTACAGCAAACAATTTATCATCATCATTAAATGCACCAATACATGTAGCTGAAAGATGATGGGTGAAGAGTTCTCATCACAGAACATACAGGTTACACCAGCCCTTTCATGAATACAAGCCTACTGTTGAGAAGATATTATTTAGCTTTTTTTTTTGCTAGAACTGGTATGTATAAATCTCTAGGGTGTAAATAAATCAGAGTACTACTCAGAAAGCAAGCCACTTGTACTGTACCTCTTTAAGGGGATCCTTGGAAAAATTCTGACAGCCATCCCCATAAATAATATGGAATTCTCCTCCCCACCTAATACACCACACCCCACCCCACCCCACCCCTCCCCCTTCCCCCATTTCCAAATCCTGGGTAGTCCTTGTTAATAAAGGACTGTCGGTAAAATTACCTTATTACAGAGTAACTTAGTTCCTACATTCAAGTTTAAACATATTATTGTAAATTTAATACCTGTAGTAGGTGTTATCAGAGCAAGGATTGAAAACTCTGACCACGATAAAAACATGTTGGAAGTGAGATCTAATGTTCTTTGGCGTGAAGGGAAGTGCTCCAGGTTCTTGAAACACAATGGTGACTATGTCGTTTCCAATATGCCTTTTTCTCAGGAGCTGCAACAAAAGGATCAAATGAAAATGTCATTTGGAGAACTAAATAAACCAAGTCCCGAGGCCCTAATATTCAGGTTATCATAACAAGAGAGTGTACTGCAAAGTATTTGTTGATAAAATTCATTATCATCATCATCGTCAGCGTTGACATTGACGTCATCATCATCGTCGTCGTCGTCGTCAACAACAACATCATCATCATCCTTGTGTCCTTTTCCCCATCTGGGAAATGGGGTCTTAATTCACTCAACAATCATGCACATGTAAATAATCTCACTAATTTCATACTCGTTTTATCAATTGTAAATAGTTTTATAAATTTTAATTTATTTATAGTGTCCCCATTTAGTGGTTATTTACTGCTATTTTAGTTTGACACTTAAATAAAGGTACTCATTCATTCATTCATTCATTCATTCATTCATTCATTCATTCATTCATTCATTCATTCATTCATTCATTCATTCATCAGATTAGCATGAAGGAAACATAAATTTTTCATACCTGCTGTCGATTATTGGGAGTCCATGGCAAAAGGGTGGACACATGAAACATAATTTCTCGTCCATGGAACTGTGTATACACAGAATGTTCACCAGTGGAGTCATCTGTCAATCAAATTTTCAGATGTCAGGTAAGTTCAGAAAATGGGTGCCAGGATTACATGTACTGGAAAGAACAGCTAAGTTGTCAACATCAATGGAATTAAATTGAACAAAATTTGAGAAACAATCTACTTTTTAAAAGAAATATCTCTTTTCTCATATACTGTGTGTCTGATGGTTCAGGAACGATTTCTGTTCATGAACGGCTTGAAATTTCTTATGCACCTTGAAAGCAAAACGAGTCAATTTGAAATCGTTGTTAAGTGACTCTTAAGTCGTTAGCAGGTTTTAATACACAATTTATTTGAGAAGTACAATAAAAGAAAGTTTCAAACTTTTACTTGCTATTAAAGTTAAGAACACTTGGCGATAAATCACAAAACATTTTGGTAACAAAAACAGCTTTAAATTATAGCAGGCTGTACAGTAGAATATGGCCCGCTAACTTGACCAATCACAGTGCGCGTACAAACTCAGAGATATAATAATTCCTATTACAAAACCCTTATAAAACTGTCTTTAATATGAATACTGTCACTGCATTTTGTAACCTTACTTCTGTTATCCAGCTGAGCTCTGTAGCCTTCAAACCCTTTCAGTGCAATCCGTTTTCCAATCAAGTCTAGGAATTCATCAAAAGCTGGGCCTGATGTTTCTGTCAAACAGAAATGATAAGGTGAATTGAGACTAACTAACGATAAAACCTATTTACAACTTACCTACAGCTGTAGTCAGACTGTATACCAGGCTGTCGTGACGTTTTCAGTCACTTGTTGCCTTAATCTTCACATCTGTAACACACTTGTTACTTTGTGAGTGAATTGTATCAACAACAGGCAACAGGGCATTTCACTTGTTGTATCAAGGGCCCATCAAGCATACTCAGCCTTGACAGTTGTGATGGGTTATGGCCCTTAATAACAGCCCTGGTATACACCATATGCTACAGTCTTGATCATCAAACATACAACATTGCTTCACTTACGGTTATTGTACATTTCTTCTTCTGTGCTCTGGCCATCTTTGCAGTACAGCACACCAACTTTATACTGATTGGTCATCTGAAAGAGATTTCAAAAGGCTGTGTTGTACAGATGTCATAAAAACTGAATTGTAGTGCATATACGACATACATTTATTTTACCAGACAAGTTCTTCTGGTGAAAACTAATGCACAGGTGGATATTTCTCTACCTAATAGATATTCATGACCATATAACAGACAATTTAAGTTGACAGTCAACTTGTTACTTCTGCCTCCAAATGCTCCACACTGACAGAGAGCTGCTCATATAGTACAAACATGTCACAAAGGGTGGTTGTAATTTGAGATGATTGGAGATCTGAAATGTTTACCACTGTAATGTCATTTGGTTTGAAATATCCCCACCTTCCCCTCCCCTCTCTCTCTCTCTCTCTCTCTATTCCTTTCCCCTCTCCACTCTATCACACACAGGAATAAAATTATAGATTTTACACAACATTTATCTCACCCCTTGCTCATCCAGTTTCATAAGCTGCTCTGGAACCTAAAAATAGAGAAGAAAAACAATTAATTCATGTCTGTGTGACCTCAGTAAATATTAATTTGCTTTGAAGCAAGGAAAGATGTGACTCTATTTTGTTTACAATGGAACAATGCCCTTATAACTTCAACCACTAGAAACTTAACATAGATAAAATACCTTACATAATAGTAGGCAGAAGAACCGTAACTTGTAGAGTACAGTTATTGCACATGTAGTTATTAAATATGATATTTTGTACACCAGAATGTTGCCTTTAGGCTACTCTGTACAATGTTGTGTACATTTGGAATACAAATACATAAGTATGAGTGCAAAAACAACAAAAAGAGAAACTTATTCTCATACTCATGTTTCATACAAACAGCAATCTGAGCTTTGTCTGCTATCTCAGGAAACTATGTCAAACGTGCATACATGAACACACTTGGATCACTTGCACTTGTGTCACCTACCTTAACCCCAGGTTGGGCCATCCTAAGTGCAGTAAGCTGAAGTTCTGGGACCACATGTTCAAGAATGTCTTTGGCTGGCAACGCTCGTGCTGCGCCATGCCGTGATGTTGATGGAATAGCTTCTTCAAGAATGCTCCCTCTTAGCGTAGTTAACTGTAATGGGAAACATGACATAACATTAGAAAAACCTTAATGTGGAATTTTTTGCTCAGAATTCCTATTCAGGCAGAATGAGTTTCATTTGAAGTTTCTCCAAAGAGCCTGCCATTTTGGATGAGATGCAAAATTTGGCCTGGCTGTGAACCCAAAAAACCTGAAAAGGGTGCAAAAGATCCAAAACACAGGAAACTGAAAAAAAAATCCATTGCAAATTTTCCAACCACGTAAATATATATATACCAAAATTTCAAGAATTTTTGAATGAATGGAAAGCACTCCCAGTTTCTGTGGCAAGAAGCTACAGTCTAAGCATTGCTACAATGTAGAGTATAGAATGTTAGTCCAGATTAACCCCAGCAGTTTGTCAGATTGACTTAAGGGTCTGCATTAATTACCTCACTTGTCCTTGCAATGATCCGATACTGGAATTGGTTGCCTTCTGACTCACCAGACTTCATTAGGGACGTGCTCTCATCAAGTTTTTCACGTTTCAAAGAGAGTGCAACTGGGCCAAATCTTTCATCAATGCCAAGATAATTCAAATGCTCTAAACATGAGTGACAAATGACCAAATCAGGTAAATCAGACGTACTTTAAAAAAGATGAATAGATGTTCCATTGTAAATGTGATGTGGTATTCCAAAACCAACAAAAGTATTCATGCACTACAGTATGAGTTACTGTTTGAGTAAGGTAAATGCATCACTACACAAGCTATTAGTAACAGTTTCCTGATGCAATGACCCCAGCTACATATCAAGTGCAGTTTCTGAAAGTTGTTAAGTGATGTCTCGTCTTAAGCAAAGGCTGTCCACAAAGCTTATCTCACTTACTGTACCATGGCATAAAGCAAACTAGTGGTAAATTTGCTGCATTGTACCCGCCCACCTCCTGAATGAGAAGCTTGTACATCTCACATTATCCTCCCTNCCCCCCCCCCTGAGAGTTTTCCAACACCCATGTACTGTATATTCCTCCATGGATACAGGCACTATAAGGGTAAATATGTTGCCTAAAACAACCCCAGGCTGTTCAATCTAATGTTAAAAGTACCTCAATAACAAGGCTACTGATTCAGTCTACACTGTTATGAAGGATGATTGAAGCAACCCTGAAGTTACTTCTGGGCAAGATTTAACTGGTTTTCACTCACCTTGTCCAACAAAAAAGTTCTTGTAATAGTAAGATCCATGATCTACATGTTCAAACACTCTCCCATCTTCATTGTGAAATCTTTCCCCTAGATACAAGAAACCACTTTCTGGCTTTGAATTATCAAGAATTGTCACTCCAGTTCCACTGCTTAAATTTCCCACTCTGGCAGAATCATATGCAGTCAATAAAATGTCAAGAGTTGATCTCCGTCTGAAAGTGTCTAATTTTGGTTCCTTGGGACGTGTTGGATCGTGGGGGTTTTGAATCACTGCTGCATTATCTCTTGTCAATCCAATCTGTGGATCTTGTTCTTCCTCCCCACCAAGTTCATTCCGGAAATATGGGCAGTTAAGAACAAGACCATTACTTTTGTCATCACCGGGGTCAGGTACATCATCATCATTATTGCTTGAATTAGAGTCAGACCCTCGCCTTTGCATCCTGTCAGCAATCGTTGCCGCAGTAACCTTAGTTGAAGCAGCCGACGCTCCTGATCGTTTGTTCTTCCTTTTAAGTCCATCACCTTGTGTTGCATGTAGAAGTGCGAGCTCGTCAAAATCAACTGTCATACTGCGGCAATCATAATGAGCAAAATATTTTCTTGATGGTTCGTCTCCATACTCTTCCTCAGCTGCCTTGGCATCTCCAGAACCTTTAAAAACCTTCAGTAAATATGAGTTATTCCTCAGTGAGTTTTTACGCCTTAACAAAGGAGTCCGTCTTTCTGTTAGAGGGCTAGAGTTGGCAGAGCTAGCACCAGTCTTAGCTCTGAAGCCATCTACATAATGTTGGTTTTCAGTATCATAAAACCACGACTTCGACCCAGAGTCTCTCTCATTTTGAATGTTCTGCTCAAACTTTCTGATTAAGGCAAATAAACTTTCTCCCGTTGGAGAGCGGGCTTCCGCAACTAGCCCATCTGGATAGTTAGTCCTCACTGAGACGTTAATTTCACTTGTATCGCTGTTACTTCTGACATGCATTGATTGCGGTTTCACTTTTGACGGGCTATCACCCCCGTAAATGGAACCAGTGCTTCTACGGATTTCATCATCCCTGTTATAAATATGATTGTACTGCAAGGCCACCGAATCATCTTTTGCCCTGGAATTAAAACAAAAAAGAATCAAATATGTTAGTACTAATTGCACACCAAAATGTTCTGCATCATTTTGTGTACAGCTTAAACAGCCAAAGCACAATGAATTGGCGCATGAAATGAGATGTTCCTTTAGAAGTTTAACCATTTTAACTAAAATATTTCTTTTGTGTAGTTACAAGACTCAATTCATTATTTTAATTTAGGTCAATGACCTGGTTTATAACATGATAAACCAAAATAGAGAATCTTTTTCCCACAAAAATACACCTTGCTTGATAACTTTTTGTGTGATGTCAAACCACCACAATTAGAGATACATGTACTTATATCTTACGTTATAACGTTTTATTATGACATAGACGTAGAGAAATTATTAATGGCAATCTTGACTAAACAAACTCAGTAAACCGTCAACAAATGAACAGCACCACAGTGATCCCCTCCTCCAAATTATAACAGACTATACTTAACATGTTTGTGGGTGAAGAGGCGACAAAAACTGTAAAGACAGTTGTTTCCCCTTAAAACAACTAAAGCGAACTTTTGACAATGCTTGTTATGGTTTTGAAACACAATGCCGAATTTCTCTACCCACAAGTACAACATTTTAGAATGGTAAATAAGTATACATTATAAACAATACCGTACAACCAAACCACCTTGTTTTATGCATCATAAAATTGAAGTTCTCGACTCCACTAAAGTCCAAACAAACTGACGTGTTTCTCTCCCTGCTGGAAGCAATCTTTCGGTCATTCCCTTAGTTAAATATCGTTAAAAGTCGTGTTTCCGGTGACGCGAAGGGAAACCTTGTCTTACAAATGGCCGCTTGCTTGGTTTTTCAGAAGCAGACAAAACAAAACTTATATGATTTCCTTCTCTACAACGTGGTCCTCTCAACTTGTGGAAAATTCGTGGAAGTTCTTGTAACGCATTTCAACCTATAATTAACACGCTTGCATGGAAAAGCCTTTCAGAGCGCTCGGTTCGATTTCAGCCATTCCTCAATCCGAAATTATTCCACTTATGCTACATCTCATTTTGTATCTATGATAACCAGCACTAAATGAAGTGAACTCGAACAATCCCTGTAAATGCCAGGAGAAACGTGAAACCTCTTAATTGGCTCTTGAGATGACCAACTCTGCCACTGACGAGTACAGATGTCGAAGCCACAGGCTGTGAAGCTTATATCGTCCGAACAATCCGTCAAATGTCGTTATAATCGCTCGCTCGCTCACAACATGTAATTAGGAGATGCTGCAGAACCCGTTAAAAGCCTTAACTCGTTGACAGTTCTAGCCAAGAGCTTATGAATTGAAACCTTGTGGTGATAAACCGGTTAGCTGTTCGTCCAACCGTCGTTTGGAGGCAGTCTTCGTCCGCGCTCGTGAGAGCGAAGCTGTCTGTCGAATCTTCGTTACTGGAAGCTAAACATTCTGATGATGCGGTTCAGCAGTTGCATTCCGGGCCGATCGAATCAGAGGAACGGTCGCAGAAAACCAATACTGACCATAAAGAACAGCTTACTAACAAAAGCAGCTCGCAATGACCTGATAGGTCAATTCTGGGGTTCGATTTCAATTTATGAATTTTAAGTACACAGCGAACGAATCTTCACAACTGCTTGTTCTATTTTGACACGTTCTTTCATCTGTCACAGTTGAATGGCGATTTAAAATGTACTTAAGGGTCGACTTGGGTTTTGTCTTCACGTTATGCCCAAAATAAACGTCAAAGAATTACAAAAATAAAACAAAATACAGACACGTTCACAGAACACACAAATTCTCACCTTTCACTAGCTGTTGAGAGAGTCGAATTCTGCGCCGCTTTCTTCAGATTCTCGGAAGCAGTGTTCGTCACCATTCGTGAACGTTCGTGCTGTCGTCGGGTCCTCACGATGTGATTTACGATCCCGTTTTAATGAACACTAAGTTAAATTGGCCAGACAACTTGATGAAACTTTATATTTCCTCGTTGCGAACTTCATGTAAAACTGAATTCTGATGAAGAATTTAAGAAATCCGGAAATTGGTATTTAATTAATGGGAGTGACGAAATCTTATTACGTTCTTACCACATAGTCGACGCTAAGCCAACCGAGCGAACAACAAAAGCGCGTATTTCGTTTACATCTACTGCTTAAACGCTCCGCTTGCAACAATTTATTGAATTATATATTTTGCAAGAATACACCCTTCTCTTTTTCATTTCACATTCTTTTTCTATACAGAAATTTCTATGCAAATGGTACTCCTGCGGTTCCAGCTTGCCACAGTGAAAGTTCAAGTCTCTTTTAAATGGCATAGAAATGGCACCTATATGAGCCATGGACTGCTCAAGGAGGGGGAGGTTTGAAAGTAGCGTGCAGGTGTCGTCACCATTCAAAAGGACCAAACTACGTCAAAATCTTGACCACATTTTTGTGCTTTTTATTTGAACCGAAGTGAACAGTAATGTGGGAAAAATACGGGGCTGACTGATAGCGTGACTAGATGTATAAATAGACGTCATCTCTGTCGCTTACACTACACGTGCTATCCTTCGTTCGTTTCAGTTTATACGTGATTAATGGTCATTAATGGCTAGTTAAATCTTTGTGAAATCACTTATTGCTCTTTGTTTGTTTGGGATTTTTTTACCCCTGTTTAGCCAGTACAATTTGCAGGCAGGATTGCAGATGAACCACTATTTTTTTCAACTATCCCTCTCTTCCGACTTTCGTTTCCTTTATTGGCGCCATACTGCTTTCGCTCCTGAATAGCGCACGCCATTTTGGATTTCACGACAACCTTTGATTTTTAGTTCATCAATGAATTATTCAGGCCTGTTTTGAGATAAGAAGATTTTTGAAAAGACAAAAATGGAGTTTTTACGGTTTAGGAGCAAATACTCTTCGTCGCCTATATTTTCAATAATTTACATTTTCAATAGGCCGACGTTCAATATTCAGTCCCTGAATTTAAATTGATAGAAGCGCGCTCTGTAACCGCACCATAATTTTAATAAATTCTTAATTTCCCCGGATTGAATTTATATCAATAACAAAGCTTAAAACACAAAATGCCACGAAAACGTTTCTGAAACGCGGTTTTAAGCTATTGTAACTGAGCTGTGTTGTTTTAGAGTGCGTTCAAAAAAATCCTTCCGGTGAAAAATTAATTTGAATTGAAGAACACGAAACTCAGCACCATTAAACTTGGTGCTAAAATGCATGTAGCACATGCATTTGGAAACTATCACACGATGACTGAAATCGAAAATGAAATACAATCATTTGCTGAAGAGTTTGAAGACCATGTGGAAGAGGACACTTACATTCGCTTACATAACCTACTTGTTTCACTGCCTCAACCCCACCCCGCCAAAAAAAACAATTGTCGCGCTGCTTGGGAACCAGGCGATAACATTGCAGCAAGTTGTCGCAAGGAGTGGTGGTGACTCGAAGGAAATTTTAGAACATTGTTCATAATTTAGCTTCTGGAAAGCGTAAAGAATGGGGAAAGAGGACCTGGAGGTAATTAAGTAATTAATTTCGACAATCAAGGGCTGAAAACATTCTAGATCGATTGAAAATATGACTTAAGCTTACCTCTTATAACTTATGTTTTGTAGGAGTCTCGTCCTCTAGCCGGCACTGCTAGTCACGTTGAGTTCAGAGATCGAGTTCGTAAAACCCTGTACTATGGTCAGTATTCCGATCGATCTCTACCATCTTTAGCCGTCACAGGTAAGGTAACGAATGATGATGGCCTGTTCTGTTTGGGTGTTTTGGCTTTTCTTCGCATGTTATTCTATTCGTAATTAATTCTTCTTTTAATTTGGTGATGACGATGCTCTTAAACATTCTGGCAACAGTAAAAGGTAAACGATGACGTTTTAATTCGTTGCATTCAGAATACCTGATGAAAAAATTCCAAGATGCAAAATGCTATGTCGTGTGGTTTATTTGTTGAGCTAAAATTCATACTCAATGTAATATATAAGTGCCTTACACAGATCAGTCTGTATAAGCTTTAATAACTTTCTTATTGTCTGGCATCAAGTGACCAGTCAACTCATCGATAATATATATTTGGAGGTACTATGCCCGTATATGTAGTGGTTTTCTATCCAGTTCGTAGAATGTTTTTACGAAAAAAAAATTATAAGAATTTAGAAGCGAATTCATGTCAGGGGATAAACATTTTATATAGTAATTTTGTCCCAACAATTTTAAAAAGTCATTGTTTCACAGCCGAATCTTGCTCTATACCGTACCTTTGCAGTATGAACACTTTCTTATGTGAACAATTTGTTTGTTTCTTTCATGTGAAAAGTATATACATTTCCTTTTGTGCCCATGGTGTCTTCTAGAAGTATTTTGTGGTTCAACATAACCCCTAACCTGGTTCAATTTGGTATTTTCTTTTGGTTAGTATACATTAAAATATATGTATTAACATATTACCACACACCAGAACAAAGGGAAATACCAAATTGTACCAAGGGTAAAATTAAACCACAACGTTTATATCAACAAGGCTGGCTGCCACAAATTTGTGTAGATTTTTTGGAGCCATTTGATTTGAGTACTTAAGGGATGGTGCGCAACATGTGATGAGTGATTGGAAGGTATCCATTCTATTTTTTACTTTATCTGTGTAGATGTGGCAGTGGAGGTGTTAAGCTCTGTGGTACCTACGAAAAGAAAATGTCTTGACACAAACTATGCCATGGTTGTCTCAAGGTAAGGTTACTATGGGAATGCAACTTATGTGTAAACACGTGTTCACCTCCAGTACAATAAACAACCATTAGCCTGTCGCCAGTGATTCATAATCACTATTTAGCAAAACAAGTTTAAAAAAAATCTCCATGAGACAGTGATCCACTAGATAGCATTCTTCATCCTTCAAACAACCATGCCTCGGTGTGATGCCTGTAAAATGCATGTAAAAGACTTGAGATGGGGTAGATAAATTATCAAAACTTCTGTTGCTCCTTCAAGAATTATTTGGTGTTTAAGTTGTACATGAGATGTGTATGTACAGCTGTAGATGTAAATGCACTAGTTAATTATCTGCAGAAATCAACTTGCATATAGTGAGACCCTGGTATGGGGGGTCTTAACATGTATGTCCCCGGTCTGAAACTCAATCCTTTTGACGTTGCAATTTTGGAAAGTTCGCATGTCGCTGTCAGAATTTCTTTTAAAGTGAGACACGGGAATGCAGAGAGAAATGACTCAGAAAAGGGTAAATCTGCCAAGGCTGTGTTTCATCGTCTAACAGATTTAGAATATTGGCTAGGTGAGTAGCTATTAGTTGCTTGTATCAGATGTAATTGTAAAATACAATTTCTTCTTGCCGAATGCGCTGCAAGTCACTGCCAATATTGCTGTGGATTTTGCTTTTTTCTTTGTTGCTGTCATAATTTTGCTTGAGTGGCTCATCGTTCGTTGTCATTTCTGATCGGTTCCATCATGTCGCCATTTCAGATTCTTGTCGCCTGTCGGTGTTTGCCTTAACAGGGCCTCTATAGTCTTCTAATTGCTGGGTTTCAACTCTAAGTCACTTAGTATGTACATATGTAACATGCTGAAAACGAAGTGTTTACCACACATCACTAATACCAGTTAACTCCCCCCTTCATTGTTTTCCTCAGGAGAGCCAAGATATCCCCCTGCACATTGATGATGGGAATTCTTTATTCTGAACGTCTGCGTCAGAAGAACCCAGAGTACCTGAGCAGGGTGACATCATCTGACTTGTTCTTGATATCAATGGTAACTAATGATAATATTAACATTTTACATCGTACAGTGGAACCCCACCTTACGCCCACCCTGTTTATGGCCACCTCATTATTTTGGCCACTCTATTCTGGCCCAAACAAAAGTTCCGTCAGTCACTTTCTTATTTAAAGAACCCCTTTAGTACAGCAACCCCATTAATACCGCCAGATTTTTGTGGCCCGTGGGTGACCCGATTAACATGGTTCCACTGTATTTGACACTTAATCAACTTCCTAATTTTTTGCTAGGGGAAATTGTGGTCATACACTGAAACATAACCAACTTCTCACATCTACAGCTACAGTGTAGCCCTTTTAGTAATGTATAATGGTCACTCAGTCAGGAGAATTTATGTTTTCATCTTGGGAGTGAAGACTTTTTTACTAACAGTTCAAGAACGTTGCTACATAGTCAGAAGCTTATTCTTGTATTTTTGTGTTCATAGATGGTGGCGTCAAAGTATCTGTATGATGAAGGGGAAGATGAAGAAGTGTTTAATGATGAATGGGCAAAAGCAGGCAAGAGATTGAATTTTATGATTTTATGTTTGCGAGGTTGACATAAAGAAGATGATAATATCCTTGAAAATTATAGTTACAACAGTGTACCACAAACATAGCATGTCTGTACAAAAGATGTCTGTACATAAGAACATCTGATCAAACTTTTTGTCTGGTTTTCAGGAAGCAAAACTGTGAATGATGTGAACAAACTAGAAATGGAATTCTTGGCATCCATTGTAAGTGTTGTCACCCTACAAACTTCCAGTTGTAAATAAAGAAATACATATGTACTAGTTATTTGAGTCAATGCTGTAGAAAATACAGCCAATCAGAATACAAGACAAAAATAAAGAAGTTGAATACCAAGTGGAAGGTTTCTTCAGTAGATAAATTACAAAATTCTCATAGCCGGTACCATAAGAAATGTATGGAGAATTTGTACATCTATGGGTGAGTAATTATTTTGTGAAGGGTGGTGTGATGACCCAAATGACCACTGCAAAGGAAACAACCTCGTGATCATGCCATTCTGTTGATTTCTTGCAGGACTGGAGACTTTTCATAAGCAATCGGGAATTTTTGGATTTTGTCAACAGAGTGGAGTCAAGGTATTACAAGTGAATATTTCCATCTTTTCAAAAGAACACTGTCTATACACATACACTAAGAACAAATTTGTGTTTGAAATATAAAAACAAGTACCCTGTAGTGATGATGTCTTGATCTTGTAGAGTGGCGACATCACATGGACTACACCGTGGTTGGTTGACTTATGGCGACCTGTGCACGCTACTTGATAACTCGGGTTTTCTCCATACTTTGGGTGTTTTCAAGTTTGAAGTACTTAAGGTAAGTGCAAGTTTTAACATTTTAAAGATTCCGGACAGGATAGACTCTCTCAAAATCCTTCACTTATGTTGGTCCCCACCCTTTTCACTTGGGAAAAGGGTTTTTCGTTCCGACTTTGGGACAAGCCTAAAATGTACTTGGAAATGATATATTTACATGTAGTAGTTCTCCCAGAAGAAGGCGAACCTGTGACTTACAGTGAGCAACTTATCCTAATACTGCAGTTGGCAGAGAACTTAGGTGTTCAGTCCTTCAATCAACTTGGCCATGAAATGCCTTTGCTTTCCGTGTAAGTTAGAACTCTAAAACTAAATGTGCTACTTGTTCTGTAGGTTTTGTGCGCCTGCACCGTGGCTTACGTGCTGAGTTTGTCCTTGGCATTGTCTCTGACCTCGATCGCTTGTCACCAATGCCACCACACTCACCAAAGCTTCGCCCCAATGCAAACCGCGCCCTGTTTAACAACAGAAACGGCCTGCAGGTTTCATCGGCCAGCGGTAACGCGGCGACGAGGCAAAGATGAAGCTTCTCTGGCGGCAAAGACAGCGCGGGAGCCTCGGAACGAATCCCGACCGTCAATGCAAATTAAAGCAGCTTACACCGAACAGGCAACAGTAAAACCCGCGGATATTGAAGCAAGACTGGGACCAGAGAAGAATGAAAACGATTCCTTTCTCACTTACAAGTTGAAATCTTCGCGATACGGATCAAAGATGGCGGTTCACGAATCTAAAAGTACTCCCGAACAGCTGAAGACTGTTGGAGACATGCCTGATCATCTGGGACTTTCCTCTCTCGTGTTTTCTCAAATTCTATCGCGAAAACTTGCTCTTCAACATCCCTGTCCTTCGACGTCTTTGAACAGTTTTACCACAGGCCGGATTCAAAGTGACTTTGTTCTCTCGAATTTCTCAGGTGGAATGAAATACAATGACTGGTACAGAAGCCGCCATACAAACGGCAGTTACATTTGTGTGGCGTGACAGCAGATCATCAAATCGAACGCGGGCGAAATTCCTAGTAACGAACACTCCAAATAAGGAACTACGTCACGGCTTGCGCATCTTGAAAAGTTCAGCCTAAATTTTTCAAGTTCGTCGTTTGTAATCCGTGTCAATCTCCTCCATTCTGAACCATCCTTGTTCACTTATGGTTTATTATTATCTCTATAGTGTTTTTCTCTCTTAGTAAACTATTATTCAAGGTTAACTTTGAATGGTAATTTTGTACTCAGCTAAAATAACTCAAAATACCGTGACTGAGCTCCTTCAAAGGCTTTTGAGTTATTTTGGCCACATACAAAATTATATTTAAATTGAAGGAAACCTGAAAATAATAGCATACTAAGATAGAAAAACATCAAAGATATAATAATAAACCATAAAGGATCAAGGATAGTCAAGGATGGAGAAGATTAACGCAGATTATAAACGACGAACTTGAAAAATGTTGGCTAAATTTTTCACGATGAGCAAACCGTGACGTGGCTCCTTTAAGAGCTAGACCCTTCTTTTAGCGTGATTAAAGGTGTGACCATTATGGTATTGCTATGTGAAGTGAAATTAGGGGCATTTGAGAAAAAGTGGTGGTGTTCCCAACGAGAATGTAAACAGTCGTACCAATTCTTTCTCACTCTTGTCTCAACTTTGTATACTTTGTACATCGATGGGGGAAACAAACAAACTTTAAATTCTGACGTAAAGATTGCGTTTTTGTAAGAGGGTATGTTACTGCAGTAAAGTTTATTCTTATATGGAACTCAGTGAATATACAATCTCTAATGGTTTCACCAAATCCAACATGGTGTCGACGCAAAAAGGAGGCGCACTAAAGGAAGGCAAACTTGGAACCAGGGGAAAATGTTTTCCAGGGTTGCATTAGCTTGAGATAAAAACGAGTGGGAGAGTTATTACAATGCGTTGAACGGAAAAAACAAACTTTCGTTCCTTTTGGTTAAGAGGCCCTCGAAACGAAATGAAGTCGCTTTAGTAGATGTGTTAGCAACGCGTTCAATAAAGCTTAAACTACGACAACACAGCTAAGAACCGACAATCGTGGAGGACAAATGACCTCTCCCTCCCCCCCTACTCCCCACCCCACCAGCCAAAAAGCGCAATTTTTCCATTATTTAACGTTTTAGTTATTATTCACTGATGTGTCTGCGGAGACCAGTGATCACAGTTCATTTGGACGGCGCGGATATCTCTCATTTTCCGTGTTAACCACGTTTGAAGAATTTAACGTAGGCTTATTTTCACGAACAAGCCTGCATGCATTAGTAATTGGCCTGAACTTGTCCAACATCATAATCCTTCATTTTATCTACGTTATTTCCGTAAACAAATCGGCTTGAATAAGCCAAAGACTTAACAAATATGCGCAATTCGAGACATTATTTCTGGTTCGGAACTCTGCGGCAAAGCACAGTACTACCATATGTCCCATATCAGAATAAGCATGTGATGCCTAGACGGATCCGATTCTTGGCTTATAATCGGTAAGCAGACTACAACGGCTGAAACACCTGTTTGTCTCGATCACTGGGTAAACTTGCATCTTCTAATCATTTACTAGATTTCCCCTAATCTTGAGAGATACTTCTTGATACGTAGGTGATATTCTTGGCTAAAGTACGTTAACCTGCACGAACCAGGAGTCCTCCAGGAAAAGCTTATACCTTCCAACTTTAATGGCTTCAGCACGTCCGAGGAATAAGTACTGACGATCCACGAAAAATGCGAGATCGTGAATTACTTTGGCACCTAGACCTGGTCGATCCATCCTCGCAGACAATTAAGTTTTCTTCGTTCAGGTAGTTGTCTTCCTCCGTTGCCAGCACGGGGTACTGAAGTAGTGGAAGACTGTGTGACTTTGTGAGGGTTCAGACTCTCCTGTCATCCGGCTTGGAGTAGAATCCCAACAAAAGAGTCAAAACATTTCAGCAACTTGAGCTTATTTAGGTCATACATATGGATACAGCATCAACAAATCTGTCTCCGGTTGAAGAAAAGTGAAATGTTCTACTGTTAATTCAAATCTCGGCGATTAACGCCGATTGGTCTAATACAGACTAACGTGGTCCACCAGTAGATGGAGAGGAGTTAGTCTGTTGATTTTGTGATCCGCGCGCTCCTGCAGTTTTCTCATGGGTTGCTAGTTCAGTGTTGGCTGACCCTGCACCGGGCTGAACCCGACTACACCTACAATACAGTACGCGCACCAGTCTGGTCCGTACCTTCTTGTACATGACTACATAAATGATTGGATTGTAGCAAGCCGAGGATTTGGCGATGTATGCTGGAATCGAAGCACCGATATCGCTCACCACGCCTGGTTTCAGAATGGCAGCTATCGAGGCCAGAGTGTACGGTGTCCAAGCGATTAGAAATCCTGCTGTTATGGCAACTGTTATCCAAACCATTTTGCGCTCAGCCAGGAGGGTGTCATGGGTGGCGCGGCTGTTCTCGCCCCAATTCTGTATGGCTTGTTTACTTAACTCACCCAGGGCCTTGTGTGTTTTGTAGTAGCAGTAAACGATAACGGTTACGGGGAGCACAAAGCACGCCAGTATTAAGCATACAGTGTATGATACATTAACAGCTTCTTTCGACGTCCAATCCACAGAGCAGCTCGTTCCGATCCCCTCTTGCACGTAGCTTGACCAACCACAGGCAGGCATCAGGCTCCAAAACAACGAATGGCACCATAGTATTCCGGACAGCAATATGGCTTTCTTTCGACTGAACTGAGCTTCGCCGTCATTGAATAGCTTGCAGAGCGTGAAGTATCGTTCATACGCCGCACCGGCCAAGTGCATCATAGAACCAAGGGAAAAGAAGGTTGTGAGGAAACCGTACGCCGTACAACCTCCTGCTCCAAACGCCCACTCGCCTCGCGCATTGGACGCTACCAGCATTGGAAGCGCAACTATTGAGTACGTTAGGTCGCCAACCGCAATGTTGAGAATGAAGATATTGGGAGCGTCTAAAAGTTGAGGTGTTGTGAAGTACACGAGACATACGAGAAAGTTGAGGATTACACCACTTCCCCCAATAAGGGAGGACAAAATCGCGAAAAATGTATACACACTCCTCATCTCTTAATCTGCAAAACAGTGAAAAAAAGATCGTACCATTATCGCCTGTGTTTTAGTAGTTTACATTGCACAGAGATGGAGGCAAGAATTCAAAAGCGTTCCTACTCAAAGTGAGTTCGAAATCAGGGCCCTTTGTAAGACGATCAACAGTTCCTACGTCGAAGTTTACGGAAATTAGCGCCTGAAAACACTTATGTTCAATTTGGATCTAAAGCACCTCTTGAGACTGATGCGTCAAAATGGTTTGTTCAGATACGAAAGTATATGTAAAAAGTGACTTTATGAGATACAGTAAGCAGGTGATAACAAAAATAAACTGAACAAAAAGAGTGAAGATTTTTTTTCCTTTTTTTTTTTTTGTGGCCGGTGGGGGAACTTGCCGGTAACAATTTTATTAGTAGGTAAATCTTTAGTTGCTATCCAGAAACAAAACAGTGTAAAGAAGAAAACAGCAAATGATATCTCATGGAAAGAAATATTGAATCATAAAGAAAATTTTTTGGCAAACTGAACAGGTGAAGGAAGCCGTGTTCGTCTTGATCAACATATCGGGTCAGTTCAATATGCATACATCGTTATTACATCTTGCTTGAGCAAACAACCTGCCGACGTCCTGAATTAAAGTTAATATTGGAAGAAACTTGAAATGAAAAATATCAAATCCTGAATTAACCAACTGGAATCATAGCAATCTCACACTAATTTAACAGATTATATTCAGCATTCAGGAGCTAAACTTAATCCGAATCTGCACACAATTTTTTCAAGTGAACACAGTAAATCAGTTATCACAATAAATCTGAAGTTTTTACACCTTCTGCAAAGCTAACACTTCAGTGTATGTCAAGTGTTTGTTTCTTCCTTTCTTTTAGTCACGGGAAATTGCAAAAAAAAAAACGAAGATTGGAAGTAATTCTTTCTCGTGCACATGTCACAAACACATTCAGACATCAATTTAGCTTGTAATCCGTGTAATGTTCTGTAATCTTTTTTGACGTGAGCACAATGAGCTCTAACTTCAAGATAGACCGACTGCTAAACCTTACTGATCATTTACATGCAAAAATATATATTTATTTTGTTTCGGCGGTCACAGTAGAAAACAACAGAATTACAACCAACAAAGATGTTTTCTTCGGACTCCCGACAGAACTGGAATTTAGAACAAGAAGAACAAAATCTTAATTAAATAATATATCTACGAAAAACACCATGAAAAATCCCTTAAATGTAGAAGATCTGACCTCACCGTGAAATCAATAGAATTTCTGTAACATTGTTAAAGAAAAATATAAACTTTATGACTGTTCAGTTGGCACGATATTCGGTTTTAACCAGTAACGTGTAAATCAGATCCTTACTTCTTTTCTGGACGTCCCATAACTGCGAATATTTCAATCATAGCGCTGTTACATTAATACCTAACTGAATGTTTCAAGCAAAATTCACCTTTTTTGGCAGACGTGCGCTAAAAAATCAGAAGTTACTTCGTGCCCAATGCTTTTTATATCGAGGCATTCTCCGCCTCTTACTTGTAACCCTTAACGGTATGATAGCTCATCTCACATATCTGCAATCTTGACCCTGTTTGTTCCTGTCAAATTTGTTGTTACCTCATTCAGATTCCTCTGGTTCAATTAAGAAGATGGCCTCACGTCGATTGACTCACACTCACTGACCCTTTGCTCCAGTGAATGGAACATAAGGCTACACTTCGATTCAGCTGAAACAATTTATATCGCCAAGTGTCAACAATACCGTTGCTTAGCGCCTGTAGATAACTACTCCGTGCTATCAATGACTTATGTACTTACACGCAAGGGTGTCTTACTCCAGTTAACAATTCTGCCCGCCAATAAGATATTTCACTTGATCCGTTGAAGCGGCCCTTTTACTAAATTGTGGCTAATCCAAAAGCGGCCCCTGACATTATCAACGAAACACAGCAAAATGCACGGCCTTGACATTCGAGCAACACATTTACGCATACGGTGGCCATCTGCTAAATGAACTGACATGCACAGCCCACGTTTGAAGTACTGATTCTCCTTTGTCACCGCTATACGTTTCTTTTAAAGTCAGCCAGGAGAATTTGGAAGTCCATCAACACATTTTCCCAACCCATTGTCACCTGCCTTGGTTAAAAGGTTTTGCCTTTCAAGATTGACGCTTTAGAAATAAAGTCTTTATTTAAGAAAGTTAATACATTTCATTATTATCGACCTTTAGGAAGTCTTAGTTATTCTAAGGTTTAGGCTATAAACATACTTTTCTTTCCAATAGTTCATTATTCAATCATAGCCATTACAAGCCTCAGATCTGATTGGTTCTTAGCACGACCTGTCCATTACGTAATGATGTTACTACCATAAGTACTCGCTACCGATTCAAGTCGAAAACATATTATCTTATTTCAAATTGATCTCTCGGCGGAACACTCGAATTTCGCCGGATTGTATCATTCTCAATTTGCGTAGCAATAAAACGAAAATGAAAATAAAACAGTGAGTTTTATTACTCCTGAGAAAGAAAAAGCAGTTGAAGAGCAAAAGGAGAAATGAATTGCTTGAAGAGAGGCAGCTGAGAAGTCTGAGAAGGCACCTGATGCGGAAGCTCACAAAAATAAAAGCGAAGGAGAAACAATAAAAAGATTTGTTAACATTTCTGATGAACAAAAATAACTTGACAAGAGGCCATTTCCAGGTTTTTCGGCTTTTAATACCGTTTGATTTCTATTCATTTAAGTCATTCATGTCTTCAGTTTGAACAAAGTGATAACAACAAACTCAGCCCGTGTTCGTTCTTATGGCTCGTTTGCAAACGCAAGAAGTTATTTCACCAAGTATTTCGGCGACAAGTTAATTGTTATATCATAAAATTTCAGAGAATTAAAAGTTAGAAAACTGAAATGTGAAGTCCATTAAGAGTGGTTTCGCGCTCAACGTCGATTTCGAAAGGAAAACAATTTCTTCTCCGACAACAAATTTTCATCAGTGAGCTTGTATTTAAGGTAGTAATTACTGAAAGGAAATTGGTCTTTTTTTTTTTTCTCGAAGCAATAAAGTTTACATTAATGCGTATTTAATGACTGACTTCTTGGAAAGCAGTGAAAGCAGTGTTTCAGCTTATTTTCCTAATCATGAGCAAAACAGGACTCACTGTTTCATATTTGCATTTAGATAACCTTCTCTGCGACAAATTAGATGAAGTGCGCAAAAATAGTTTCCAATTTTACCTGTGGATTCGCAATTACTTACAAAATGATGAATGAAAACCTAGTATTCTGTCCACATCCGCCAGTCGCTTCCTCGTCGCTGGTTGCTTGGCGGCCATTTTTTTTAAAAACACATGTCTTGATGACGTACAACTCCAAGGTTAAAGCTGTTATCGTCCTAAGGTGTTAGTGGGTTTTGTTTGCCCTTCAAACAACTGTCAAGTAACCTACAACATAAACTCGCACACCTAAGAACTTAGAAGTGGCCTGACCATAGCTGATTGGTTCTCAGTACGCCCTATTTTTCGCCAAAATTCGAGCGATTCGAGTCCTCTAAAAAGGTGTTAAATGACAAGGTGTTCAATAACAAAACTCGCGTGCCCCGCGCGTGCTCTACTTAGTTCCTTCTCTTCAATGACTACTTCTTAATATTCCCAAAGCCTTTCAGAAATGGCCTTTTTCTAATTCTCATGATAAATTGGTATATTAAAGGTAAGACTTGGCGTCGTCCAATCCTGTTGGTAATCATAATCGTGATTAAACAAAGTCAAGCTCCTGTAGTGCGGTTGTCCGATTTTGCTAATCCTCCATGGATGAATTGGACTCCTCTAAGCGCTATTACCACTACAAATTGGAAGGCGAGCAGCACGGATGTCTAATAACACAATTCGTGTGCCATTCGCGTGCCACACGCGTATTTTATGTGGCTCCAGTGACTAAATATTTCTTATAGAATTTTCAGAAATGCTTTTTCATAGCGAATTTTTTTCATAAATCGTTGACTGGTTTCGCTTCGTCTTAAGTTATTCCTTAAATCAATTTTTTTTCTTATGGTTATGTGACCAAATTGGACCACTCTGGGTTTAATTACCAGAATATATGAAACACCAAAGAACGATGAGAGTGCTTGATCCTTTTAAAATTATTATCGCCGGTGGTTCCACCGCAATAAACAAATACCAGCAATTAAATTCGACTGCTGTGATTGGGTAGCTCGCATTTTTCTTCCTGGAAACCTAGATTATTTGTTTTAGCTCTTAACAACAACTTCGCTTTGCGTGGTGTGATAGTAGAATCGTTGAGGATGATATCACGAGAAATCAAACTACTATTTCGTATGACGTAGAAACAACCAAAAAACAAAAAAAAAACCTCAATGATGGTATTGACATGCACATATGTACATGGCCTGGTAAAAGTTCAAAACTCGCTCAAAAACAAAAAAGCCAAAATATTTGCCCTATCTAGGAAAACCAAACCATTTAAAGAAAGAAACTTCCAACTGCCCTGTAAATGCACATGAAAATGACTAGACGATAAAGACAAAAAATACATTTGTGACCTGCGGAACCGGAGTGATTTACCACAAGTACTCACAGTGCCAAGCATTTCAAGCATCGTCTGAACAATCATATAATTTAATATATCTTGTTACCGCTATTTGCACACGGTACGTGCTTGGAAAAGATGCGTAAATTTTCCACTAATAAGAATGTTTTTTGCCATCTTTCAGTTCTAGAACTTGATAATGTGCAAGGAAAAGTTTCAATGTCGGAAGCTTTTACATGTAATTACAAAAAGGAATTGGCATCGTGCGTAAATCTCGACATAAAAAACTGAGAAAAAAACAACACAGGAGAGAAAATGTACTTTAAAATTGACATACTTGCACCCCGAAGGGGCTTCTCTGTATGACGCTAAGTTAAACTGCGCACTAAGGTTATTTTCCTATTTACTTTTCTTTATAGAATAAACAGAAAGTACCTTAAAGGATTTTCTATCCACTACAGAAAAGAAAAACAGGCGTGTGCCGTTTGACCTTCGAACCGATCCAGAAAAGTCGTCACAGAATACGGTTAAACGGAAACTTCCTAATATATTTATTTTTCACACGTCACTTCTCGTTACTAAGCAACAAAACTTGTCAATAAATGGAGGATTGCGGGCTCATTTAATCATGTCCTTTGAAAACCTAGTCAAATTGACGCGAAGAAGATATCTATAAAAGATGATATTTTGCCAACCGTGCCGGCCCTCGCTATCTAGCTTAGTTTAATCAGCAAAATACGTCCGGAATAAGCAAAAACAACGCTTAAATTCAAGTAAAAACATAGAAATAAGAAATATAATGTAACGGTGCTTTCCATTACCTGGTTTGTTTGACAATTCAAGAGAGTAATTAGCATTTTTAGGGAAATAGCCTTGACTGAAATGTAAGAAGTGCTTTCAGGTTATTTTTTAGTCAGTCTACATGACAAAAATAAGTGGTTATATGAGCAAAAAAGAATGAATTACTTGAATACTGAAGAAAGGTGGCAAGTCTTGAAACTGATCATGTGGCTCGAAATGACAAAAGCAAAGAAGAAATGGCTGTAGTCCCAGAAAAATTAAAGGTTCACGGCTAGTATTCTGATTACTCATTGTGCCAGTATTCCAATGTTATCTTCAAGTCCAGTGTTTGATTTATTCAATTTACTGGATTTAATGTGTTCAGTACATGCGTACCTTTAAAGTTTTCTAACGGAAAAACACCGATAAATATAACATATGTACCATGCTTATTACTATTTCGATAAGCGACTTCCTAGCTTTGAGAATTCGTACAGAGTATAATTAACAAATGTAAGTGGTAGAATTAACATGTAACATCAGTACCTTTTTCAGGTTTTTCCAGTTCGGTTTAGGGTTTTCTTGTTCGTCTACATTGCAAGAAATGGTTATATGAACTAACCTTTAAGATGATATCTCTTTCGTGGCTTAGGGAACACGTACTGGCGTTTTAAAAGATCTCTGTGTTTTAAATATCCTGTTATGGCTAGGAAAAAACCTCCTTTCCGTACAGGAAGATATTTGAAAGGTTTTTGGAGAGGACAAAAAATTTTCAATGGATTTTTTGTCTGAAGTTCTCGAAATAGCTGAAAGTTACTTGCGGTCAGAGGCAAACATAGCAAATGATTTCTCGATTCTGTCTGCCGGAATATGCCTGAAAAAATCAGCATTAAATTATTTCATGATATAATTTCATCTCTAAGTGGCAATAATGACGTGCGGAAACTGTTTCGTCCCTAGAGTCAAAGAATTGTTTACAATGATTGTCCATTTCCAGTCCATAAGTGCCTTTCTGATCGAGCTTTAAAAACATCAGCTCTGAATGTTCAAAAGGCATGGAACGATTGCTCCTAGTAATTTGAACCTAATACATTGAATACTTTTTATGTGGCGCGAGTTGAAAGGATCAAAATTTGACAAAAAAATCTTTTAGTGGATTAGCGTTTTTGCCACTGTAGACATTTTACAGTTTTTGACTAAAGCGGAAATCAGCCCAAACATTTTCACACCGAGAGCTAAAAATATCGATAACTGCTTTGTTGTAAATGTCAGGAGTCAATCCGGTTTTAGCCTGACAATGAAAAGATGCAAAATGTAAAGCCAAGGCGGTGAGTTAGTTAGGAAAGATTTCTCCCTTTTTTCATGAAAAACGTTCTAGGTGATTAGAAAACCTTTTTATCCTTCTATAAACTGCTGGACAACATACACTAACAAAATCATTAAGATCATATTTACCGCACTTAAAGGCATACATAACATCTTGAAATATAGTACAAGATGGGCCGATTACATAGCTGATTCACACGACCAGCAGTACACAATTTAATGAAGCTCTTCTCCGGCAATTAAGTTACCTAGGCTTCCCTGGAACATTTATTTAATCTTCATCACTCAACAGCCAACTTCCATTAAAAAACGTGCGCGTAATTTCTGTAAAGTTGTGTCCATTTTTTTTGTTGTTCATCACTCTGAAAGTACATACATAAAAAAACGTGTTGTAACGGGAGATAAAGTGGAGTAACGCGGTGTCACGAAGCACGTCTTAAACGTTAGCGAGGAATGTTTACTGCGGGTGTTTACTCAATTACAAGTCTTGAGTTAAAGAATTTGTCTGAAGAATTGTTATGTTTCCATCCATTTTAGTACGGGAAGAACGATATTTTCTTTAAAAAAAAATCAGTTATGCTGGATGGGCTAATGCTCGAAGGTTAATCCAAGCATCCAAGGGCAACTTTGTGCGAGCAAATAACAATCTTTTGCTACACCAAAAAATGATCTTAAATCCGCTTAAACATTCAATAATAAACTTAATTTAGGACGGAGGTAAAGAGGCTGCGAAAAAAAAAAGAAACTAAAAGCCTTTATATGTTAATTTACGGCCTCCTTAAGTTTTAACCTATTTTCAATTTACAAAACATTTAGTCTAGTCAATTATAGTGTTCAAATTATAAACAGAATTCTGATTTAAACGCTGAAATTTCTAATTCTTGGTAAAGTCTAAGGACTAATCACTAAAGGTTATCTAAAAAGAGGCAAGATGGCTGGAATAAGCAATTTCCTTCTTAACCGAGTTCACCAAAAATCAGAAATAAAGCATATCCGGCCCCTACAAAATTTGCATATCCTTGAACAGGGAGGGGGGCATACATTCGTATATGTGGCCATAGAGAGTGCGGTGTTAAGGTGTTTCGGATTGAAATCGTTTATAGATATTGAATGTTTTTGTCTGAAAGAGCGTGCGTTTTAGACACTAGCCTAGAATTGGGTATTCTGCACGTTTGGAAGAAATCATCGTTTCTTTATTAACAACCGGAAATTTGAACCCTTAGCAGAATTTTTTCGCAATCGAAGCCACTCTTTGTTGACTGAGCTCTTGTACTAATTTATGCAGGGAATCAATTTTTCTAAGTATATGAATTTTTTGTCAGTATTTTCGTCAGGTCTGAAACTTGATGGGGTCTAGAAAATCACATATTTTTCTCTGAAGTAGAAAAACGGTTTTAGATGCAGAAAAATATACACCCTCACCAAACTTTTTAAGTAGAACCATATAGATATTTGTTAACAATAAGGATATGTTTACTTTTTGCTATGTGCATTTTTGAATTTAAATGTGATCAAGTTGTATTCGCAAATAAGATCCTATGTTGAACAGGCAAATACTGGTAACTTAAGCCTATGCCCAAGTTTTTTCATTTATATTGTATTTTGAAAAAGTTCGCTTAATAACAGCACGACAATGCTATAACTGACTGCATGGTACCTCGATCACAGACTGTCGTTATTAATTAAACGCGAGTTAGCTGAAATTAAATGCCAAATATCGCTCCATAAAGTACAACGTAAAGATATACACAAGCCATTCCATTCTTAAGGGAAGTCGATTTATCATAGAATAACTAACTTTCATCATAAAATTCAAGGAACGATTTGATTTTTGCAAATTACTTGTCATACTATTTGCTATTATGATTAAGAATTGAAATAAAGGTGTACTTTTAACGGAAAAAGAAAACTTAAGGCTGCACTACAACATTTAAAATAACAACAAAAACGTAAAATTTTACGACAAGTTTACAAAAAACAACCACAAAACTCACCGTTAGTTTCAATGCGATGTGTAATTTGTCTTGCTTCTCTTTGGCGGCTACATTGGTAAATCAATTACCTGCTGTCATTCCCCAGTACAAATTGATATCAGCAGAGAATTCATGACATGAATGCAAATTCAAGTGACCCACCGGAAACATTTCATCTTCCTGCCCAAACAAAATTGCCTTGTCTTTGTCACTGTTTCACCTGGTCGAAGTAAACAAAATAATTTTCCATTCAGGTTTTTTTATAGCAATTGTAGGGAATTTTCCTTCCTTGGTTAGAATCTTAAATTTATATCTGTTAGTCAGGCACGTTTTCTCTCACTATATTCCCTCTTTTTAACCCGGTGGACGTTATGAATTAAATTAGTCTGTTGTAAGGTGCATAATTGTACTTATTCAAGGTTTTTTAAAAAATGATGTCAGCTCAAAACTTACTAAAATATTTTCAGCTTAATGTATATACGTTAGTACTAAAAGCTGCGTTAGTCATTTCACACTGTGCTTTTCAGATTTCTGGTTCGTGGTCTTCGCTCACTGGTCCTCGCGTACTATTAAATCATTTCGCAGTTCGCTTTTATCATATAAATTATTCATACTGCATCAGTACACCATATAATTGACAAGTAGTAATTGCAAATACTAGTCAATTCGTTTTTTCAGTATTTTACTTGTGAATTTAACCTTAGCATTTTACGTTTCTGTATGGATGGCGTACAAGTTTGTCACGAACTTGAGTCAGTCATTTTATAACCAAAAACGATCACTTATGTTTTTTATTTCGTACCAATATTTAGGTCAATTTTTTTTGCGTGTAATTCAGCGTTACATTGCAAGGCATGGAGAAGGATATAATTGTAATTTTACATCTAACAAATTAATTATTAAAAGAATAATGCTTGAACGCCGGTATTTTTATCATGCACTTTTTTGTACCATTTTTTCGCGCAACAATCAAAATTACATTCACGAAGTAGCCTCATAACGCATTTCTCATTAGGCATGTGGTAAGTGAAAATGAATGCAATTCAAAATTAATGTAGGTGAAATTACACAGTATTTGTGTGGTCGTTTTGAAAGCTATTTTTAAAATGTGTCTCATCAATACTGATCAATCTTTTGTGCTTTGCACCCTTAGAAAACTTAAGGTAAATTAATTAAAACTTGGACTCGTTTCATTAAAACCCTGATTTCAAATCCCAAAGCAATTCTCATTGGAACAGTCTTCCTGCTTCATGTGCTACAGAGTCGCAGTCGGAAATCGAAGCATTTAAGAGGCCATGCAGATACTTCAAATGCCAATCGGAAGCGTTAAGATAAGACGGTACTGATCATTAACAGTCAGTTCAGTCGCCGGGTAAGACTGCTTCACTGTGGCGCTGCAACCATCATGCAAAAATCGCATACCGCCTCCACCACTCAATATTACCTGGGGCCATAATTGCCGTAAGGCCATTTAAATGTGTTTCAAAATCTTCCATTTTTTGCGTAGTATTTGACAATCATGAGCAGACTGTAGGTAGATTCGTGGACTTACCGGAAGCTTGTTCGGTGCATGCGATAAAGTTGTACCGTCTGTAAAATCGGCGCTTATTATTCTTCCGATTGCGTGATTGTGTTGTCTGATGGTTTTCGGGCTATCAAGTCTATCACACGCGTATGCATGTGGCTGTTGCAAGATAAAAACTGACACAAAGTACTTATAAACGAAAAGATCGTGCCAAAAAGAAGCATTTTATAATGTTTAGCAAGATCAGGAAGTGACTAGTCAAAATTGTAAAAGCTATGTTCCTAAAGTTATGTTTATAGGTTGTGAGATTCTGCAAGATAAAATACTGAAAATTTTGCTGGTTTTTAAAGGATTTTCCCATCAAAAAATCATAACTTACAGAAACAAACACTACCTTGTTTGTTTGTTTGTTTGTTTGTTTGTTTGTTTGTTTTTCTCCCCAAGCTTCTGGAAAAGATCTCCTTATTGCAGGTTCAGAAAGATCGTCTTTGGTAAAGTCTTAGTCAAACGCGTCTCTTATTTATGGAAGAGCTCGATTTGTCCCGATCAACTCTCTATTGTAATAGCCATTGCCAATAAAACTCCGTCTTTCAAGCAAAGTGCTCAAAAAATTACTTTGTACGCCACTGGTGCCTATTTTACGAATATCGGATGAGCGGCTGACGAGTGGGACTAAGCCCAACTAACTCCCAGTATCTCTCGGGCAAGACCATTCCTTCGAAACTTCGATCGACGCAGTTTCACTGCTAATTGCTTTGATTGAGACTAGAAATACAGAGTTTGGCACTAAAACGATTGCATAAGGAAACCACAAGACATGGCCACCGACAGTCAGACTAGTCACAGGTAGTTTTTCTCCTTCGTTGTTAGTGTTTTCTCCATAGTTTATACAAGTTGTCAAGGAATTGCTTTTTGTTTACAAATGGAGTATTCTACTAGCTTGGCAACAACCTCGAATGATCTTAAAATCGTGAATATCTTATATAAGTTATTCCTATAGTGTTGATTACATCTTAGTTTACTTATCCCTGGAACTAAGACAAACTTTGTAGCGTACGAGATTGCCCCGCTTTAAACAGTCTAAATTAGGTGCAGTAAACAATACAATGTACATATGTCTGGATTTATGAAAACCGTGCTAATTTCAACACAACCACCCTGACACTTTTCCAAGAAAATACAC